AATGCCTACAATTGCACCTTGAACTTGTTCGACAGTACCATCATACACTGATATAATTGTAAAGATCTATACACTACAGATACACTGGTCTTGTTAGTTGTCACATATACATGTTCAGATAGGATAATATTCTACGAACTACAGACACACGTCTAGTATTGGTTTACGAACTGGTATAATTTGGTTCTGTATTCTACATGCATGTCCTCTAAAAGGAATTAGCCGACAAGTTGACTTATTTCAGATAGTTGACACAAGTCATTGCCTTGAGAACTGGGCTTTAATATTTACATGAACATATTATTTACTGAAGGTAGGCATTTACTTACAAAAGAACTCCAAACATGGTCAACCATTACCTTTCCTCTTTCGATTCAAGGTTGTCATTAATATATGTTTGCAAGATTTTCATTAAACGACAAGATTTGTGTAACGATTGATAGTAACTGGTTTTGTGGGCCTCTTTCAGTAACAATATCCCAGTCTTGTGGGCAGCATAAATACAGTTATACATATATCTGGTTAACATTTCTGAATGTTCCAATATTTTTTTGCAATTACATTGCTGTTGAGTTGTGACGTGAATATCAGAGAATACAGGGAGTCTAGCCAGCAGTTTGTACAGGCTGATCTACAGCAATGCAGCAGAGTGACAGGCAGTCACAGGCACTTGTAGCAGGAGGCAGAAATAACCTACACTACCCATGGACCTTACAGAACTTAAATAGGAAAGTTAGGATAAATTTCACTACTTTCAAAAAAACAAAAATCCCCCTTCAAATATCTTGACTTTTCTTGTTACAGCTTGGAGTGAGTGAGAGAGTATGTTTTTTTATGCCACTTTTCACACATTGTACCCACGTTGGGAATAGAACCCGGGGCTTCGACGTCACGAGCGAACACTTTAACCACTAGGCTACCTGACTGCCCCTTTACAGCTTGGAATGAAATATGTGAAAATTTGTCAGCAGCAGATACTATTAACTGGTTCTGTTGGTTTTCTAATGGTCCAGACCAAAAAGTGCTGATAATAATACTGAATATAGAAAGTCATTAATACAACCATGCTCACTTGTTTAGATTGCTGATTCTGCTAGTTTGCACCTGACAGCTCTTTCCAAACCTAGAAATGATCAAACTTGCCCAATGAACAACACTAGACCTTTTTGTTGTTGCAATTAACCCATTCTACTTGTCCTTCAAAGGATTTACAGGACTTGGAACACTGGATTGAATACTAAAAAATATCAGCTGCTGTTCATGACAGGTTTGGGTAAATAAATATTGCCTCATTAAGAAGATGGGTGTGTGTGTTAAAACATCCTGCTACAAGTGCTATGAGAGCCTGTGATCAAAGTCCAGTGAGTCCACAGGTAAAGAGATGCTGAAGAACAAGTGTAGAAAAGAAAGTCACAAAGTGTCAAGATGAAGAAGAAAAGACAAACAGTAAACAGCTTGAAATACTTTCACAGAAACACTGGCCCTGTCCGTATCCTGGACCCCGCGGGAGATATCAGAAAGCTGGGATCCAGGAAGAGACCAAGAGATAAGCCAGCATGCTTGGCCAAATTCTGTCTCAAACCTACGTCAGTTTTCCACATACTAATCCTGTTCATGTGAATTAATAGTGAAATAGTGGAACTCCTTACAGTGCTAAACCCAACCATCATCATACAGAATACTACATGAGAATGCAGTGTAAGGAGTCGAGTATGAGGAAATCTCTCAATAATTGCACACAGCACAGAAGTCCCTTTTGCCATACACATGACACCAATATCCAACAGCGTCTGCATAAGGCAACTGGAAGCAAGAGACTGTAGGTCTATATACAGGATATTATGATGATTGATTCCGAGCTCTGGAACACGGGATACCTGAGAAATATCAAGGTGCATATGGGAGTGCGAGAGGGGTGTCAGAGAAACGGCTCTCCTAAGTGAGCAAATCCTGGCTTCATTCATGGATAATATAGGTGAGTGTTGCCATAAATTAAACAAAATACACCATGCTCATATAGATGGTAACAACTCCAATCTAAAGTTGATGTAATTCAATTTTGAAGAAATAGCTCCCTTATTGGATATATCCAGTGCCTCAAATACACAAAAGTCACCAAACACTATGTCTTGGCATAATCTGGTACAACTGACCAGGAAAATGGGTCTATCTGTAAATAATATAGGTCCATCTTATCACACGACTTCCCTAACAATCAAATGGCTGGATGGACATAGGTTAGAATTAGCAAATCTCTGCCTTGTATAACTGGTGAGAGATGCAAAATATTTGGGGAGTGGCCATCAGCTCAATAACACCCCTCGCACCGGTGGGCCTAGAGAGATCATGTCACCTGATGTTGCCTTGATACCTAATGACCTTGCGAAACAAGTGGACGAAAATCTGCCTAAATGGGTTAAGCCACTGCACTAAGGAAGGATCTGCTCTAGTGGTTGAAATAAACAAAATTCAGGCATGGATTAATGGTCAACATGATTGGAAAAACTTAAGCATCAGCACCTTAAAATGGTATCAAGCACCATTTACAACATATTCCAAAATGGTTTTACCATATCTTATATAACCACCAAACAATATCCTCATACATATCCATGCAAGAATACATACTCCGCTTTCCAAACACACAATTTGTCATCAAAACAAATATTTTTGTCCAGACAGATGGGAATGTCTAAATATATCTTTCCTAAAATAAAAGTATATCAAGGGTCCCATTGAGATATGAATTTGAAGAAGTTACTTTCATCAAACAACATGTAATTCATAACTTTTAGTCAAACAACACACAAACCATTTTTTGTAAAACTTAAACAACACACAATGACGCAGATGACACCCCTGGGGGACTTGCCATTTAACACTAGGCAGAATATCCAAGGTCTACTACATGGGGATAAGGATATTACTTCAGTAAATTTGACATTAGTTCTTTCTATCAATGTTTTACATTTGAATGGAGAAATGTCTAAAAGTTTGCAACCACATATATGCCACAAATAAAAAATCGATAATATTTATCAGGAATTAAAAATACTTGGCTTGAATGTTCTGCTTCAATCCCCAGAAACGGAATGATTAATGCCCAGACATTAATACCTGATGCAGGATAACATTTGAAGTGAAATCTTGGTGACGACGTAATTCAAGGATGTTCATCTCAACAGCTGCTTACCATAAATAGTCAGTAGCAGTACATGATAGCTGTTAGTAGAGAAAGACAGATACGAATAAGCATCAAGAGTTACGATGAAGAAGAAGAAGAAATCTGTGTGGTCCATGTGAAAGTTGACACAGTTCATGAGAATCAGAAGTTCAGTACAGAGTAGACATGACAAACACACAACACATACTCTTATTATGCCAAAACATTCCTATCATTAGCTATAGGTTTCACTCAGAATGAATTTTTTTTAGCTGATTTATTCTGAAGGTGTTGGTGAGTTGGGTTTATCATTGCTCTGAACAGTATTTCAATTAGATCAAAGCATGTCAGTTTAATGTGGAAGAAAGCCTAAAGTGAAGCAGGTCTCAGACGTTTACCACTTTGAGAAATCCTACCAAGGGTAAGCGCTGACAAACCAATGATCATTATAAGGGTGAATCTATGATTCAATCCCACGATCATAGGATCCTGTAAGTTCCTAAGGGAAGCAACTCTGCACAGCAAATTGCGGCACCTTAGAAGACTGGACCTTCTGTGCACCCCTGAAAAATGTTAACTAAAATCAACTACTGGTACTATTTCATCGGAACCATTCCAGTTTAAACAGATACACTGTGCATACCATGTATACATCAAACTGCACCCTGTGTGTAGAAATAAGCCCATTGAGCCACTGTATGTATATACAAAGGGGACATCCTCACTTTCACACTAATACCCTGTGTCTAAGAAAATCACCTTTTTTTTCTGACCGATAAATAGTAAGATACTTTACCTAAATACCAGTTGTAGCTTAAGCTGATAAATGATCCAGTTTGAATCTCATTACATCCATCACAAGGTGAGAATTTCCTGGCAAGGATTATCTGCCCACCATCACAACCACACTGTTCCATAATGCCTGTCATTTACCCAAGCTCAGTGGAAGACATCAGACCTATGGAAGCCACTATCAGCTCGCTGTACAGGTAGATATCAAAGACATTAGGGAGTTATCAGGATTCCGATTCAGAAAACACTTTCTGCCATTAGTGTCATGCCAATTCTTTTTAATAGTAAATGTTGTTTTCTCAATGAACTTTCAGAGAATGTGTGTAAATAAAATTAATAAGGTTCAGAATTTACAGAATTAACAAAATTATAACCTTTAGAATCAATTTGACCTGTGCTAAAATTCTGATTCCAAATTAAGTACTATGCCCTTCGTTCAGTTGACTATGTATTGTATTGGTGTTGCAATAAAAATATAAATAGTATACTTTTCCAGAAACAATTAAAAATATGACAGTGATATGACATACATGACAAATTTTGATTATCACACACATGCAAAGTATGAGTAATGTGCTCTTAATATTTGATATGGTTCAAGTATAATCACTGCCCCTATGTCCTTAACAACTTTGTATACATGAACACAAACATGGGTGATTTAAGTCATACAGCTGTTTCTATTTCGGCTATAGACATCGCTCATAGGGCAACATGATGAAATCATTGGCACATGGGGACGTCATTTAACACAAAACAAGAAGTCATTCAGTTAACAACTGCGACAAACATAAGACTCACAAACAAATACAATTGTGCCATGATGACGTAACAAACACTAACAACCACTGCAAGTTTGGATGCAAAGGCCAAAACTAAACAACAAAAAGATTCTTTCCGTCTTTCTCGTAGATGAGAATTAGTCAGCATGAATGTTAGTTTCTCAGGGATGTAGCACTAGCAGTCATTCAACTGACCTGTATGTCTGCATGGGATCCAAGAACTACAAACTCCCTCCTTCCCCCCAGTCCCTCCCCTCCCCTCCCCCAGTTCCCTTCCCGACCCCCATCCCAGCCCCCGATTCATTATTGTGATGCACCTACACTATGGTGCAACATGCATAGTTAAGGTAACCTTATGCGTAACCCAATATACAAATGGCATACAAGGCCTGCCTACAGGCTGACTACAGAACCACATACCAGGTCACACATACAAACATACACCTCGCATACATGACCTACTGTAGTAGCTGTGGGATGGCCAGCTGTTAATAAGCTTAGTATAAGGTAGTAGTTGTCAGCATATGCTAAAGCCTGCCACAGTATTACATCTGGGCTGAGGCTTTGTTCACTAGAAGATCTAGCACGTGTTAAATTACTAGTTTTCATTACTATGTACATCTGTTTGTTCAGTGGCTCTTCAGTGGCTCAGCAGTGCACACCTCGTGGTGGCCGTCATGTGCCAGGAAAGTTTGAGACATGGTCTGATGGGGGCTCATGAAACATGCCTTGTAGTTCGGTCAACGCCAGCACTCCGCTGTCTGATCATCGTGCTCCATGCGGTGGGGGACAACGTCACAGATAGACAGGAAGTGAGGCACTGCCAGGAAACATCACAGTTGGGTGAGATATGACAGACTGGGCCGACATCGACAGGCTATAAGTTGGTGGAAGCATGCTCGGATTCGGACGTGTCTGTCCCATGGTCCCGTTCGTCTATAAAACTCTGTCTATTGGAGCCGGTGTCACTACTTGGATTGCTACTGTTGTTGGATGCGATGGAGTGTCGCCAACCGGGCTGGTCTGTACTGTCCTGAAAACACAAACACCCACAAATCTCAATACAAATAATTTCTATTGCTCTATATCTTGAAATTCACACTTTAATGACAATGAACGCCAGACATATATATTCTCATACTAAACCTAGCTGAGCAAACCTGTAAAACTGGATTTTTTAACTCTTACGAATATATCATAAATGCAAAATGAACTTAGTGATAAATCACATGTGAGAGTGTACATGGTGTACTATGAGCGATTTTTATTCTTCTTTTTCTAAATGGTAAATGACAAAGTAAACCAAACAACAAAGAATGGGTGCTGTGAGAGTGTGGCAAACCTTGGGATTGAAACAAAAGTCATCAAAATAAATCATGTGAGTGAAAGACAGAATGATGTGTGACGTCTAACGTAGTACACTTTGGTGATCATGCATTCGTCTTTCTAAAATGCAGAAACATGCCCAACGCACGGGATTGTAAGAAATTTGACAAAGCAGTGATTGTGCTGCAATCATTTCAATAATGAAATACAACCAAAGGAGGATCCTGTTTTTCACTCTATCACAAACACATCTCACACTATTAATAAACATAAACCACATGCAGTGACATGGGATGAAATGGCATTATAATAATAGGGATTGAAAATAACTAGTGGAATTGTTATGATTGAAAGATATGAATGAGGTTGTATCTATGAATTCCAAAAAGATAGTAGATTGTACCCTTACAATTGACAACAGGTAGTTTCCATTTCACAATGAAATCACAACAGCGAGAGCTAAATCAGAGACACCACATGTCAGCACAATGAATTGTTACTATTATGAAAACAAGGATAAACTGCAAATCAAAAGATAGTACACAATGTCAAATCAGTTACATCAATAAAAAACATGAAAAGAAACTGATCAGTAATGAAAAACGGAAATCGGCAGGTTCCATTCCCGTTGATTGTGGCAACAAATTGCTCATGCTAAAACACAACCGGGAGACAGGGTGAGACGACGAATTTCATTACAGATCTGGGTTCACAATAAATCGCAGGGATGTTTGCAGGTCTGTACAAATTCAAATAGAGAGAGACAATAATAAGGCAGCATCTAAACCTCGGAGAGAGAGAAAACCATTGCGTAGAATCAAAGTGTGAAATACACTGTACTTCATAGTATTCATGTGACTCATTCATCAGGAAAAATGTTCCTGTTTCATATTTCTTTACTTTCTTTGAACTTTGGTAGAAGCCAATTTAACTGCAAACGAGAATTCAACTGCAAACGAGATTTCAGTTGAAAGCGAAGCTCTCGGCCTCAGATTCATATGAAACAGAGACCCCTACCACAAAGCAATCTTAGCACAACAACTGTCGTAAGCCCATGTTATAGTATGAGAACTACAATCACCATAGAACTAAGATAGCTTTGTGGAAACCGGCCCTGGTATCGTCCAAATTCAATATCCACACAATATTCTTTCCAAGAATGTACAGTGTATTTGAAGGTGCTAACAGACAGACAGCTGGACGGATGTACGAACATGCGGTGGAGTAAGATAAGAACGCTACCCTGCTAACTCTTGGAGTTGTTGTATGTGGGTAGTGACCAGCAACTTCCGCTAGTATTCACTGATCCTTGAGATGTCCTAACCATCTGTCGAGGAATGCTACAGTTAGTATACTTCCCTATATATATCAGATACCGTCAGCATGCTTCTTTCTATCAGTACAAGTGAACCAGTCTTTGAATATAAGACACATGTCCAACTAATACCTATCAGGACTGTCGAGCCATTCACCCAAATGACTTGTATCCAATATTGGAAATTATTCCTACCGAGTCTAGTAAACCATTCTACCTCAAAGTAAATGAAACGTTTGTTGGTGACACTCCCTTGACTTGTCATAAATGAGAAATTCCTCTCCGTTCACCAATCATTTCAAGCAGAAAGTGTGAGCCTAATTCCTTTGAACATGAATTAATGCTTTTCAAATTTCTAAACTTTCTTTTTCTAAGGATGACGTACACAATTATCAACCATATAAGCAATAAATTTAGCACAGAAAATGGCATCACAAAAACTAGAATCCCAAAAATGTTAACATTTCCCACATAAAATTATTTTTCAATCTTTGTTCAAGGTAAGCTAATAAATAATTGCCTGTTCTCAACTACCACTTCTGTTATAAATAGAGTAAGTGTACATGAGGAATACTGGACAACTAATAAGCTAGCAAATCATCTCAGGATGTCACGAATACTAAGATTTCACTCTAATATGAAATGTATAGGAAGTATCTCTCGTGAGTGAAATAATGAACAAAAAACCAAGTGAATATCCCAGCTGGACGCAGTGAAGAGACTGCAGCGAGTCTGTGAAACACTGAATGGTGGTCGTGAAATCCCACTGGCTTCCTTCTCAAATACAAACAGTAGAAGGCTTAGCACTATAATGACCTGTTAAGCTCCTGAGTCTCATAAAGGACATGAACATGCTCCAGTGTCCGAAAACAAATTCCTACTGTCTTTAGTCACTCAAGTTACACAAACGCAAATGTCAACATACTGAACACTGGCTCATCAATCCTAATTAAATTGAATAAAAGTAATAGTTTTGAAGCATTATTCATTAAGCTATGACCATAAGAATTATAAAAGGGTCTTATTTTCCAAACAATTGATTTCAATGATCATGAAATGACTTGGAGGCTTAACACATGGAACAAAAATAAAGTAGAGGAACACAAGTGCCACAGTGCTGAACACACCTGAAGCTAGCAATACCACACCTAACAGGGTGACAACGCTACAAGTCTTCCCAATACACAGGTCATTACAGTGCTAATGCTAGATAGACTATGCACCACAATCAGGTCTGCCGTTTAAGGACAGAGCAACTGCAGGTCAAACTTTTATCTCGATTAATATTAAACAATAAAATGCAGAAAGATGGTCACTCAAACATAAATTAGTCAGTACCAAGTCGCATTTCATTTTAATCCACTGACATTTTCAAAATAATATTCTGATTTCAATTTCACATTAATTATGTTGTTTGTTTTTTTGCAATTGACGTCTAGTCATCTCTTACCTAAATATTATTGTTACCTGCAAGTTGACACATCTACCACCCAAATCCATAGAACAAGAAATCAGCTGTTTCAGTTCAGAACTCTTCCCTCATGGCTGAAGGTAGTTAAATAATGAAACTCTCCAGTCTTCCAAGTTTTAGAAAGACATTCAAATGATACATATTGTGGTTCATAATCTAAACATATACTACATAGATGTAAGATGACATGTCTATAGTCTATTACTCAAGTGTAAACCTACCTCAAATACATCTTTCTCCAGACTGTTTGGGTCCTGAGGGGCCCCTGGCATTGTCCTGACCCCACCTGGTCGACCACCCTCACTCCGACTACCAGCACTTCCTGTGAGGAGAGAACAAGACTTTAATTTGACATGTTCATCACAGGGAAGATCTGATACACTGAGAAAAGCTGTGGACCTTAAGACCCCTGAAGATTGATGTGAGGATAGGAACTATGAAGCTGTCAGGGAGGTGGTTTGATAGATCTTCATACCAGGAGAAACACTTCATTTGTTCAACTCGCAAAATGGAAAGACATCACTATCACTGTTGGGGTTGTAGACACAGGTACTACAGAAATGTACCCTAGCTTGGCAGTACGTATGTCACTGGGGCTTGGCAATATGTAGGGCACTGGAGTCTAATTTCACAATGCACAACATCTCAAACTCCAGTCATGTGTGCAATATGTCACAAGCCCACTGTTTATCTGAACCAGACAGAATTAAAGTATCACAATCAGGTCTGATCATGGATTTGATACAGCAAGATGTAAGTACTGTCATGAATGAATCTACCAGGTTTGGGCATACTGGAAGTCTTGACTACACAGGTATGCAAAGGAACTGGCTTGGTGCATTTTTAAAATATGACTACTCTTGACTTGTATGGCGTTAATATTGCCATAATAGGGCTAATTTCTGTACACTTATTTTGGTTGAGGTATGTTTATGTATACAGAAATGTACCTTGGGTAAATTTCTGTAGTGTGCGTACTGTCAATGACTTCCAACTGTTTAACTGTCCTAAGCCAGTCAGGGAATTAACTTTGACACGTCTCCAAACCAGCAATGAGAATCACTGTCTTCGTAAGCTCAAATCTAGAGATAGGAGGATATCACTATCACATCCAATCAAGGACGAGGACGTGACAGCAATTATACCACAGCCCCCCCCTAGCCCTCAGCCCTATCTGACCCAGACAGTTCCTCACCATTGAAGTGTGAGCTGACCGGCCTGGCCCCTCTCATCTGTGCTTCATGTATAGACGTGAGTTGTGGCTGGAACATGCTCTTCACCCTCTGCATCTCCGACTCTCCACTGCTGCTGCCAACATTGCTCTGACTCCCTCCAGACTGGAACACACAACCACATAATGCAACAGTAACACTCAAACAATCATCAACAGTGTACGTCCAAAGTTTGATCTGCAATGTTTACTGCATAAAATGAAAGTTCAAATTGAAAAATAAGTACTCAAATATTACAAATCTGTAACACACTGAAAAATACATTTGAGGCACAATGATGGATATGAATAACAATTCAGCATGGGAGTTATAACAGTCTCAATGCTATGATACCTCCATGTCACAAGATCATGGTGAATAACAAGAGCATCAGTAGCTTCTGTCCTACCTTGGGTAGGTCAATGAGGACCTGCATGCCCTGGTCGGGGCCCATGTGAGCTATGTGGCTGAAGTTGATGGGGGATGAGATAATTCGAGATCGGCGGTCTCCACCTCTGTAAGCACATAAACAATACAATGACACTTTCCTTTCCACCCACATAACGCTGGGGATCCTTGATGACAATTAACACAATGCTTGACTGCACACTTTCATTTTATTCATGTACACTGGAGTATGTATTGTTAATGTAAAAAACTGTACATTTAACAAGATCAAGTCATTCTCACACTTTAAATATGTTAGCATGTTCAAACAATATTAGATTAATTCACATAAATCTGATCGGTAGATGTCCAAACAAAAAATACAGAAGAATTATAATGTAGAAACTGGTAGTCGAATGTTCTGAGGAGTAAAAATAATAATAAAAATATCAACTATTCTTTAAAATCTAGTCACTTCTATATGTTTCTACAAAAGAAAATCTACAAAAGCTATAAATGTACAAGAAAGAATTTGAAATAATACTCCTGGAATATAATCAAAAGGAAAAAATGTCATTGACTAAGTCAAACCATGAGTGCTACACAGCACGCATAGGATCAAATTGTGTGAACAAGGTAAGCAAAGCAAAATATCATGGGTAAGCCTTGGGTGTTACTTGATAAAGAGGCACGCAAATAATAAAATTGCATCGGGATCTCAAAATCAAAATAGCTTTATGACTCTCAGGAAGCTAAATAAAACTAAAAATATTCATAATGATCATACATTGTGTAGATTGTAATCATTGTTGACTTGTACACACATACATTCATGCATCAACATCTCGGCAGCATGCACTAAACTTTTCAACCCACTTTCCATGTAGATCAAAACAATACACGTGATATTCATACCCTCTATTACTGTTACCAGTACCATGCAATATCATGAATCTTAACTATCATAATATCATATATCATAAATATTCCATGCCCAGTACACATGCACTCATACAATGTTTATATCACACGACCCATGCACATCCAGCTGCCTGCTGTCCTGAAATAGACTACACTTAAGTCCAAAGTGTATGAAGAAAACACCCGTCATCCCACGTGGAAACATTCTCTACATGTCATTGATTGAACTTGGAAGAACCACATCTAGAAAACCATAAGCTGAACCTCACCCAACAGTATCAGAAATAGCATTGAATAATTGCAACTGCTTCTTTAAGATGCCATTTCATAAGACTATGTAGTCTATTCTACAAGAATCAAAATTAGAATAGCTTCATCATCAAGCACCTGCCCAGTGTATATAAAAGCTGGTTGAGGGCCAATAGTTTTACAAATGGAAGTCATGGTAATGGTTTAGGGTTGAGCAACTTACCTGCAGTTGTCTTATCCCTAATCTTACAACAGAGTTTTCGCAATGCGTTCGTTTATTCCCATAATTTCTGGCACCATGATTCCACTATGGACTTGTAGCAGTAAGTAATAATCCTAAGGATGTACCCAGCATTTGCAACTCTAGGACTTCAGTAGATCAATTGTTGCTCATTTTAAAAAAGCATTCTTAAATATTTCTGTAATGCATCTGTACATCTTTCATTACCACAGTTAATCTAAAGAAATAAAATATAATTCAATATGTTACTAAAACATTTATCAATTATCAATTCTTCCTTTCTTGCTATTACTGTATTTCACAATTAATATTTGTCTGAAATTATCCTTCAAATACTCATTAAAAACAATACAACTTGTCAGTTAACTCTGTGAAATCAGACTTCACAATCAGTTGAGATATAGAGGAGTGCAGTGTAAAGACGCCAGTGTCGGACAACACAGTGAGACAAAGAGGGCAAGGCGGGTGCAGCACTACACAAGCATGCAGATGTAGCATCACTAATGACGGACAGACAGTACATAGTAGATCTTACTGTGGTGGAGGTGGAGGAGGGACCAATACTTGGTCCGGCCCCATGTGGGCCACATGGCTGAACGTTATTGGCCCAGAGATATCACGATTGCGTCTTTCTGACCTGAGCAAGCAACGATCACGCAAAGGGGAAGCCATTAATTGAGGGAATTTGTGATGAAATTCATTTACTCAGATGAAAACCTACCCTTTGATGAGATGATTATTTCGCGATGGAAATTAGAACATGATGTGGAAGTTAGGACATGAAGATGAAGATAGTTTGATATGTGCTGACAAAAATCTAAACTATGTATGTGAATCCCTGTTTCACCAGACATTTACCACCCAAGTTAGTTCACAGTCACTTTTCAAAATGCAATTAATATGTACATTGATTTGGGGTGCATTACCTATACAAGACTTTAACACCAGATTATAAATGAATCAACACAAGGTACTGAATGATGTTGGCAACATTTAATAAATTAGTTCACATTCGCATGGATAAACAGCCAAAGAATGATTCTGAAGCGAAAGGATGAATTTTCCATGCTAGAGATTGACAATGAGTTGGTCTACACAACTACATCTAGACTAGGACTGAGTAAAGTGACATTCATTGATGACAGAATGGAGAAGTACTGAGAGACATGCACAGTGGTCTGCCTACCCTTTACTGCTTCGGTGGTCTTCCTCGCGGCTCTTGAAGGAGAAGCGGCGCTTGTTCCTGCCACCACTCTTCATCTTGGCTAACTCCGCAACCAAAAGGCGGTCTTCCTCTACACACAGGAAAATACACAGTTCAGCAATAGCGCCTCACAGTGGCGTTCAGCAATAGCGTCTCACAGTGGCAACTCAGATTGTAGTCTGTGCCAAAGTGTACCAGTTAGGATCTCAGCATTATTTTCACAAGATATTTGTGTTATAATGTTCAAATCTAAAATAAACTATTTGAAAAAATATAACTGTGTCATTATTTCATGCCCCCGCCCCCAAATATCACCTCTGCCACACACACACCCCAATAATAATTGACCAGTCCCGTACAAGACAGAACAGATTATTACTAGACTCTGGTTTGGGACAAGAGAGAGGCCACCTGATCATTTGACTGTCTCTTGTGAACAGCTTACGTGTCTTTGGACCTATTCTAGCCTGGAATCCACACTGGGAACAGTTGCATTCGATGAGGACATCACAGTGAAATTGTTATTAGTTGTCTGTATACTGTGGACTAAGATCCAAAGTATGTGAATGTTCCGAGCTAGACCATGCCCAATAGAAGTCTCAGTGAGAGATGTGACAAATGATCATAGTGATGAACCTACCTGCATAGATGTCTTTGAGGTAAAATATGTGTTGAGAATCTACACCACTGAAAATACAGAGTGATCCATCCCTGCACAGAGGCTTGCACTGAAAGTCACAATTATGGCAGGTGAGAGCACATTAGTATGATTTAGTGATGATCGGGAGATCCAGGGGTCTCTTGGTCTCTCTGAAGTATTTGAATCTTAGGTCCTCCTGAATCTATCATCATAACATCATGTCTACATGACAAGCTGCTCCACAATTAGTCTATCAGGGAAAACTAAGGAACACAACTCTTTAGATTTAGTCATCAAGCCTTCTTATGGCTAAAGTTGTCAATAAGCTACACCACACCGGCTCAAACAACACGTTGAGGCTTCCATTACATGTTAATCAACAGTGGATACACAGAGATGAAAAATGTTCTCAAATGTAACTCAATAAATCTTTCAGAGCTCAAAGTATTTGTTGTTGTACTGGTATAGTTTCTCTCATAGCTATCAAATATTGACCGATTCAGATGATGTTACATACCAAACAACAATGGATGGGTGAGATTGTACTGGGAACATCATGATTTAGCTAATGGTCAAGAAACCACTTCCTGCTTACCTTTTTGACATTGACAGTTTGTACCCAATCCGAGGAGTGAACATCGTAGATAAAGACTGAATTCTCTGTGTAGCAGGCAAGGTACGGCTCTGAGTAACCTGAAACAGAATTACTGGTAGTGAGTCATTGAGAGCGTAAAAAGTATGGTTTTACACAGCTTTTAGCAATATCCTGGCAAGATTACAATAGGAGACACCACATGCGCTTCACACAATTTACCCATTTGGGATATCGAACCTGGGATGTCAACATGATGAGCATTAGGCTACCCCACTGCTCCACTGTATGTGTGAGTGAGTGAGTTGGGGTTAACGCCACTTTTAACAGTATTTCAGTTATATCGTGGCGTGTCAGATTAATGTGGGAGGAAGCCCGAAGTGATGCAGGTCTCAGACGTTTACAACTTTGGTGAAACCCACGAGCACGGGTATGGTGCTGACAAACCTAGAAACATAATCAGGGCAAACCGGGATTCGAACCCACAATTATAGGTTACTGGCGTGCCCAAGGGACGCAACTCTGCACATCGAATTGCGGCGCCTTAAACGACTGGGCCACCCATGCCCCCCCAACTGTATGTGTATTGGGACATGTCATATAACATGTCGATATAGCCAGTCGATTGTTACTCAAACACATTTGTTGGGTTGATTTGGAGAGAGAAATAGAAATAATGGCTGGCATGTCCATCATACTGAAGGTGCTAGTAGTGTTAACTGAAATCTTGGCCACAGAAACATAAGGTTATTGGGACAAACAGGAAGTAAAATACATCTACCATTCCCTGAATCAAGTGAATTGCAATCAAGAACAAGGCATATCCCTAGTTTCCCTCAGCAATGAACTGAATTATCCAGAGTTCTACTTACTGACGGCATCAGGCTGGGCAGGCCACAACAGCTCCTGAGCTCGACTCCTGGCACCTGTGCTGTCCACGTACACTCCCAGAACTGTACACAAACACAACACCTGAGTCAGGCATGTTCAAGTTAACACGTTCTAACATACTGTCATATTCTCTAATCTAGAACCATCCCATCAATTTTAAAGGGATATTAAATCAATATTACAACAGAGAGATTACTGTTCATTTTGGCTTCAAAACAAACATGGATCTTCAGCAGAGGAACCATAATTCTTGCTACTCCAGAACGAGACATAAGGTTGATGCAAGACAACTGCTAAAAAGGAATCTCAGCAAGTTATACTTACTGTTGAAGACAAGAAGGTATTCTTTTGAGGGGAGCTCAATGGCCATTAATGACTTGACTGGATTGCGCACCAGAAACTCCAAACTGTGGTCTTCAGTGTTAACTAGTGCTGTAGGAGGGGAAAGTAATTCATGTAGCACAAACAAAAGATACCAAAAAACAATATATTCCTACCAAGCTATATTTCCATTTGCACTATTGTTATCTTTACGTTGAAACACATACTTTACTACAACCCTTGTCTTGCAATACACATGTAACTTTGTATTGAGATATGCATTTTACAGCAACCCCTATTTTAAAATATGAACTTCACACCAAGTCCTGCATTGCAATACAATACTCAGAGACCATTGTTCTTGACATACACAACTGATTGCAACCCTTGTATGATATGCATCATATTAGAACCCTTGTGTTGCTCCACACATCCTACTGCAACCCTAGTACAATATGCATCATATTACAACCCTTGTGTTCCACACATCCTACTGCAACCCTAGTACAGTATGCATCATATTAGAACCCTTGTGTTGCTCCACACATCCTACTGCAACCCTAGTACAGTATGCATCATATTACAACCTTTGTGTTGCTCCACACATCCTACTGCAACCCTAGTACAATATGTATCATATTACAACCCTTGTGTTGCTCCACACATCCTACTGCAACCCTAGTACAATATGCATCATATTAGAACCCTTGTGTTGCTCCACACATCCTACTGCAACCCTAGTACAATATGCATCATATTACAACCTTTGTGTTGCTCCACACATCCTACTGCAACCCTTGTATAATATGCATCATATTACAACCCTTGTGTTGTTCCACACATCCTACTGCAACCCTATTACAGTATGCATCATATTACAACCCTTGTGTTGCTCCACACATCCTACTGCAACCCTAGTGCAGTATGCATCATATTACAACCCTTGTGTTGCTCCACACATCCTACTGCAACCCTAGTACAGTATACATCATATTACAACCCTTGTGTTGCTCCACACATCCTACTGCAACCCTTGTATAATATGCACCATATTACAACCCTTGTGTTGCTCCACACATCCTACTGCAACCCTAGTACAATATGCATCATATTACAACCTTTGTGTTGCTCCACACATCCTACTGCAACCCTTGTATAATATGCATCATATTACAACCCTTGTGTTGTTCCACACATCCTACTGCAACCCTATTACAGTATGCATCATATTACAACCCTTGTGTTGCTCCACACATCCTACTGCAACCCTAGTGCAGTATGCATCATATTACAACCCTTGTGTTGCTCCACACATCCTACTGCAACCCTAGTACAGTATACATCATATTACAACCCTTGTGTTGCTCCACACATCCTACTGCAACCCTTGTATAATATGCACCATATTACAACCCTTGTGTTGCTCCACACATCCTACTGCAACCCTAGTACAGTATGCATCATATTACAACCTTTGTGTTGCTCCACACATCCTACTGCAACCCTAGTACAATATGCATCATATTAGAACCCTTGTGTTGCTCCACACATCCTACTGCAACCCTAGTACAATATGCATCATATTACAACCTTTGTGTTGCTCCACACACCCTACTGCAACCCTTGTATAATATGCACCATATTCAGCCCTTGTGTTGTTCCACACATCCTACTGCAACCCTATTACAATATGCATCATATTACAACCTTTGTGTTGCTCCACACATCCTACTGCAACCCTAGTACAGTATGCATCATATTACAACCCTTGTGTTGCTCCACACATCCTACTGCAACCCTAGTGCAGTATGCATCATATTACAACCCTTGTGTTGCTCCACACATCCTACTGCAACCCTAGTACAGTATGCATCATATTACAACCCTTGTGTTGCTCCACACATCCTACTGCAACCCTAGTACAGTATGCATCATATTACAACCTTTGTGTTGCTCCACACATCCTACTGCAACCCTTGTATAATATGCATCATATTACAACCCTTGTGTTGCTCCACACATCCTACTGCAACCCTAGTACAGTATGCATCATATTACAACCCTTGTGTTGTTCCACACATCCTACTGCAACCCTAATACAGTATGCATCATATTACAACCTTTGTGTTGCTCCACACATCCTACTGCAACCCTAGTACAGTATGCATCATATTAGAACCCTTGTGTTGCTCCACACATCCTACTGCAACCCTAGTACAGTATGCATCATATTACAACCCTTGTGTTGCTCCACACATCCTACTGCAACCCTAGTACAGTATGCATCATATTACAACCTTTGTGTTGCTCCACACATCCTACTGCAACCCTTGTATAATATGCACCATATTACAACCCTTGTCTTGTTCCACACATCCTACTGCAACCCTAATACAGTATGCATCATATTACAACCTTTGTGTTGCTCCACACATCCTACTGCAACCCTTGTATAATATGCACCATATTACAACCCTTGTCTTGTTCCACACATCCTACTGCAACCCTAATACAGTATGCATCATATTACAACCTTTGTGTTGCTCCACACATCCTACTGCAACCCTTGTATAATATGCACCATATTACCTGTGTGCCGTAATACACATCCTACTGAAACCCATGTACGATAAGCATCATACAACAACCCTTGGATAATATATCATATTGCAATACACACTCAACTACACAGAGACTGCAGCTCTTGTATTAGAATACACTGCCTGCTGAAACCCTTGTATTACAATATATACTGCAAGTATCATTTCCTTCGCCCAGTGTGATAAGAAAACACCATGGAATATCATCAACATGATCAAGCAGCATCTAGGAGCTGTAGTGTCCATGGAGACAGTGTCACATGCTTGATAAAGGTACAAGAAACTGTACAGAAATATTGCGTTACATGTAAAATCCATAAGCCAAGACAGTCTTTATCAATATAAACATTCTACAGTTGAGCTACTTACTCATGGGTGCTCCATCTCCTTGAACAGTGTATATTGCAAATGTTGACGGGTATCCCACACACAGTCTCTCACTCATCATATCTACAAACTCCACATGGCCTGGCACTTGAATGTCTTTCAGTTTCCTGTATCTCACCCGTGTTTTGTTCACTTCGTACACCTGAATAGTCCGCTTAATAGCTACACACAAGCAGGTCACTGTACCCTGCCGAATAAGTCCTGTACAAAATGTTTGGCAGCCCTTTGTTTCGTTAATTTTAACAGAATCACAGTCTTTGCCCTCCAGAGCTGACACATGGAGGATCTTTATATGCTTCTGTCGGCCTGAAAACATCAAAGTACGTGGAATTATTGCAAATGTCCTCACAGAAATGAGAGCAAAATAAATCACACTTCAAACATATACTTCACGAGTTACCATGCCACAGTTTAACATGAATACCCCACTCAGACACAGTATACCGTCTCCAAGCCAACCAGTCCTTGTTTTAGCCCCTTAATGCCTAGCGCCACACAGGGTAACAAGAAGTACCATCTTTTAACATCTTTTGGTATATATATCAGCCGGGCATCGAACACCGGACCTTCTGCTCTCTGGGCAGACACTATACCACTAGACCACAGAGGCGGTCGGATTGGTTAGTACCCACATCTAGAACTGATACACAAGAGCATCTTTAGCTGAAAGTAATTTTCAATAACATTATTTATTTTACCCAGCAGTTTAACCACTGCTTTGAACTTGTATCCTGGCATGTTACTATAACTGGGAGAAAAGTCATAATCTGGGCAAACATGGTATTTGAATTTCTTATCGCGGATCCTGATATGGCTGCGGGAGGCAACTCACAGTTGGCCAGACTTGTTATACATTTCAGGATAAGGGCAGCACAACCTGGATGCATACTTACCACCGATATAGATGACAGAATGTTCTTGAGGTACAATCTCCAATTGGAAAATTTTCTTGTCACCCCGATCGCCCACTCGTGTCAAATCTGATGTACAAAATTGAATGTAATTAGGGAAATACACACTTCATTCATGTAAAATTCAAATTCTCCCCTTATGTATGAAAGATATCAAAACATGCATGTGAAGTCTTACCTCCAACACAGACAAGACAATTCACAGTTGAACCAAGCTGTACGTTCAAACCATACAGTTTAGTTACATTGTCGCATGGCATCGGTGCAACATAAAATACTCAAAAGAAGTGAAAAAACACCCAATGAAAGAATGAGGTGTTCTTTAACTTCTTTTGAGTAGTATTGGAAGTCTCCATAATCAGCCTTCTCAATAGGCGTTGACAGGTACTTCTGCAACAACAGATGCACCTTTACACTTGGCTGGATTTTTTCCATTCAATGTTTGAGGGCAGTAGAAATATCTGAAGGTGGAAAACACAGAAAAATCACAAGTAAAAGCAAAATTTGTACTTACGGTCTCTTTTCAGATCTAAAATATACAATCCCTCTTCTGTTCCTAGGACTATCCTGGAGGAATCTGGGGGGAAATAAAGTGGAAGATCAGAAAATGGATACATCTTTGTCCACAAAAGGGTTAATATTGTTTTAAGTCATGAACTCACTGACATTTCAATAAATCTTTAAATAAGAAGCAACAAATAGGAGACAGAGATGTTGAAATGAACATAACTGAAGTTGAATTAAAAACATTCATAGAAACACCTTCATGAGCATTCAAACATAGAGAATTCTGCTGATTTGAAGAAGGTTGGAGATTTTATGAACGTTTCCAGAAGAGCAGATTTCACACCCGGAAACAAAAGCAAATATCTCAATGTCAATGCGGGCACCCATCTCCATGTCAGTGACAATGTTGCAGTATGCTGTTTGTAGGCCTAGTTCAATTATCATGCCCCCCAAATTATCCCAGTTCAAGTAAAGATTTCAGATCAACTCACCCAAGATTGTTGAAGACAGAGTGTTTTTTACAAGGGACAAGGAATTATCACATACTTCTTGTGCTTGATAAACCTGAAAGAAAAACATAAAAACATCAATGTCTGCATAAGCCATACTGTTTTAAACTAGAATTCAGATAATTTACAAGACAGCAAAACACAAGAGAAAAGTAGCAACTGATGAAAGTCGTAGACGTTTTTACCATTTGGTGGAACCCATAAGTATAGTGCCGACATATAAATGATCATAATTGGGGAAATCTGGGATTCAAACCAATCATCTGCGACAGTTACCACTTGTTGGCCCAATAATGCCATGTATGAGTATGATGCATGAATAAATTTAAATGCGATACTGTTTACTTGGAACTTTCATAATTCTTACAAACTAGCCCAATGTTTTTCTGAATGCAAATTGCTTATTTTAACAGGTGTTGTCATGTACTTTAGTACTTCAATACCATAAACCCAGTATCTATTTTTAGTAGAGAGTAGTTTAGATACAGGGTAGTATCATATGAATGCTATTCCTCACCGCTGTTCTTGGCAGTTTATCGTTGTTTTTGAGAATGCCATGTAGTTGTGTGATGACAGTGAGCCACCTCTCCTTCTCACGTTCATCCTCTGCCAGTAGTAACACTATGTGCTCTGTAAACGGTGAGTTCAACTCCGTTGTTGTAACCTGAAGAAACAAAACATGTGGATGTAAAACAGGTTATCACTGATACCTCCAGTCTGTAGCCAAGGAGTAGTGAGCACCCCTGCTTTTTCAAACAAGCTCTTGGAGCTACTCCATAATAATCTACACAAGAAGAGGAGTTTCCATTTTTCTCTAAATTGAACCCAATACTGAAACACCAAAAGCTTGACATCTAAATCATTTCCAAGAATTTGCCAGATTGATTCGCAAGATAAGGCACACTTTGTGTTATGCAATTCAAAGTTTGTAGTGCACAATCAGTGTCAACACTGCTTCAAAACTGCCATCCTTCAGCCTCGGTACACAATCCTTATATTTACATTTACACAGATTTTAGTTTACTTTCAAATTGTCAGTGTTTCATCTCAGCTGAATAACTTTTCCCCTGCATCTTCTTGTTAGATTAAATTCATAGTCTCTAATCCCAAAATTGAGATCTGGAAAGTATATCAAAATGTTGAATCTTACCCTAAATATTTGTGGTATATCTTTTTTGTTGGCATGAATGACATCACTGGGATTGACAGAAGAAGCCGAGAACCTCTCATCTCTGGAAAGAAATATGTACCATCAGCATGAAAGAAAGAATATCATCACTATAAGCATCAATAGAACTATACCACTATGGGAAACAACAGGTAAACTGTATCCTTATTGTCAGAATCAGAGAAAGAATATCATTATCATCAGCATCAAGGGAAAATAAATCTTGTCTGAATCAAGGAATGTAAACAACCAATGTCACGATCAAGGGAATAACTAACACCATTGGGCAGCATCACTGCCGGGATTTATCTAGGAATCCTAACTCAGTGCCCCTGGAAGGCAAATTGGGAAAATATTGTGATATTATTCAGAACTGGATGTTTTTAGTGTTCTTATTTTTACTGACATTTGCTGCAGACTTGGGACTGAATATCTGCCTCTGAGCAGGTCTATAAAAAGCCCTGCATGCCACATGTTGAGTGAGTCAGCGAGTGAATGTTATTTTACACCACAACCAGTAATATTCTAGCTTTATTATGGCAACCTGTAAATAAGTGTCTGAGCAAGGCAATGAAGGAAATTGCAGAACAATGAATCAACTGTGTTTGTTTGTTTAGTGTGGCATTAAGCAATATTTCAGCTACATACCAGCAGCCTGTAAATAATTGAGTGTTGACCATACAATCCAGTGACTGATATGAGCAATGATCCACACTCTGGGTATGACAACACACAATCAACCAAGTCACAGAGCCTGACCACTCAATCCATTTGGTCCCCTCTCACAGCCCTCCCTTCCCCATCCTCTTTCTTCTTCCCCTCACCCCCAACCCCACCCCTACCCCCCCCACACACACACAATGCCCGCAGGGTGTTATTAAATATGCCTACCTCATGTCTAGCACTTCCTGCACCACCTCGTTGGGGATGTTCTTGTCAGATAGCATGTCATAGAAGAACAACTTGAAATCACAGACCACCATGTACTGGCGTTGCCACCCTTTCTTAATCCCACCAAGACGGGGTACCTGTAGCAACCAATCACATTTGCTATAGATAATGTAATTCAACATAGAACATATTAGGCTAGACTAGATAAAATATCAATTTACAATGTATTTGTATATTCTTTGTATACTTATACAGTAAACTATGTTTATAACGAACTCAAAGGAACCACTAATTTTAGTTCGTTATAAATGTAATTCATTATTAGAATACAGCATATGTACAGCAAATGGACGGGATCAAATTTTTTTTGGTTATATTCGTCAGTTCGTTATAAGCGTGTTCGTCATAAACATAGTTTACTGTATATTCATATTGCATATATCCTAGCCTCATCATAAATGTCATCATAAGGAATATCTGTCTAATTTCTATTATTTGAGTGAGCTCATTATGACAATGCCAAAGCATGAGCATCACATGGAATGTCGCCTTAGAAAGCTTTCACTTTACTGCCTTTAATTTGAAATAACAAAGTGAAATGATCTATTTACTTACTCTTACGAAACCTTCAAAGGCTGTGCCAAGACCTCTCTCAACATTCACTCCCGCTGGGCGTTTCGCTGCAAAGGTAATGTTTCAATAGATTTTTTTAACATAGACCAATACATAAGTTTGAAACCATTTCAGAGTAGAAGGAAAAGGACATCTTATTATCTAAATTATAATGCATTAATCATGCAGAACTTTCTTGCGTAATTGCGTCGACTTGTATGAAAAACAAGACATCACACCAAGTTTATGAATTCTTATCCTTAAGACTTACTCATGAGGTCCGAGGGAACAGGACACACATCTGGTGCTTTCTTCATACAGTGGACATGGCATGAATAGCCACACACTGGAACACAAAAATACAGGGGCATCAGCAAAGGCATAGTCTCAGGCAACGATTGTAATACTTCAAAAAGGAAATAGCTGATTCACCAACCTCTTGAAATCAGATCTTTTACTCCAATATAACGCATCTCTGCGCTTAAACGAATTGGTACTCCACTTCAATTTGGAAATGAAAACCCACGACAAACACAAATATTCCTTCCATGGTACTCCCTTTCAGTGGTAGATTCCAGAGCTCATTGTCAACAAGGTGTATATAATATCAACAACAACATAATGGCATGGCCCTCATATTGTATTGTACATTTGGGAAAGATTGTTAAGCTTGTTTTTCGAGATACAGAAAAGAAAGTTCACCTGATGCAACTTCCTGTGAAAAGGTCCTCAGAATCCTCATTCAGTTATCATATTGGAGTAAAAGATTTTATTTTAGAGATTGCTGTTCCCCTGATAGGATATTAAGAAGTGACATAGAATAATTCTTCTTTCCTTTCTGTCAATTCAAATAATGTTTTATTCATGTTATTTTTAATCAGTGCAGTTCATAAGTCTACAAGACTACTATTAATATTTTGTTGTTGTTGCTGTTTAGATGCAGTTCATAAGACTACTATTAATAAAAAAATGTTTTTGTTTAGATGCAAAACTTACCCTCGCATGTAATGCCCTGGCGCTGCAGGCCAACCAACAAGGAGGTGCAATGATTGCACTTGTAAGGGGTACTGAAAGACTTGACAATAAACTTGTGAGCTTTAGGGTGTGGCAGGGGCTTGCCCTGGGCGGGGCTGGTGTTGTTGGAGTAGGGCTTCTGAAACACTGGCTCATATGGTTGTGAGAACGGCACAGCATCACGGGTGAGGGATGAGTCCGGGGTGTCTCCTGCCTGCAGGTCCGACCGGGAATCTGTCCGCGAGTCTGTCCGTGATGCTGTGTCCTCGCTGTCATCACCTTGTTCACTGTCTATTGAAATCTGCTGTAAACAACAAGTGATCAGGTTAATTATCTATGCCCAAAACGGGTTCCTGTTTCAAACACAATGATGCAAAACACCAGCTAGTGTGTCTTATAATTAACAACCTCTGTAATTTGTATCAGAACAAAATGGCAACCACTAGAAACTACTGACTCGTGTAACAGACACGTTTTCCATCAGCAGGATTTCCATTAATTTGCAAAATTGTATCATGTTATTGTGTATTGTCAACAACCAAATAATAAAAAGGTATTATCCTGTTTGATATCACTGAAGTTGAGTACTTACATCCATGTTAAAGGTGAATCTGTCGTTGAAATACTTAAATAATCCAGGTTCTCTACTGTCATCCCCTGAAAAGAAATACCAAAGAAACATTATTACTTCAGAAAAAGGCAGTTTCTATCCATACATACTGTGACAATTAAGCAAAGTGTTAGAAGGTAAAAGGACACTGTCACCTTGGTATGCTTGAAGACTGAGTTAATCACACAGGTTAAGAAAAGATAAGGATTTACACCTGTCAATAATACAATGTTGTCCTGGGTTGATTTGAACAACCTTGTCTTTAAATCATGTTATGACAAACAACACATCTTAAAACTGTTATCACCAATAACACAAAACAATCCGCCATCACTAACACAAAACATCCTGCCATCACTAGTAACACCCAATTTTAAATTATTTTAATAAATGAATGTTATGACAGTTAAGTTCATTGAAGTATATATTATTTTTAGGTGGCTATGGCAGTCTAGTGTTGAAAGAGTTAATGCAGCACTAAGCAATATTCTAGCCAAATGATAATCTCATTAAAATCAGATCTTAGTTCTCGCTATCGCAAAATAAAGATCTGATGACATCCCATTACGGGTGACATCAGAACGACCTTTCATCCAACCAATCAAAGCATCGCTCCCAGATTATGAAAGTGACAGTTGGAATGTGTTTTCTAATCATGCAACCTCGAAAACGTTAACAGGGTGTATTCTGAACAGCGGTTACGGCCCGTATGACAGATTCCGTCAAAATTATCTTCTATCTCTCACTTCAGTGGGATAAACATTTCAAGGGAGGGGGCACAGTAGAAGGGAAGCACTGCCATACAATCGCAACCCTATATTAGACATTCTGGAATGTTCATTTGTTCAGTTTTCAAAATTTTAATCGAGAAGTGTATCAACTATTTTCAAGCATAGTCTGAAATGGAAGTCGCCAGGTTGAAACGAGTGTCATGAAGTTCGAGAAAGCTGCTTTCTAATTGGATGATGTCGACTTCTTGTTAGTCGTTTTAGTGGTCTGTCAAATTTCGCGTAAGGTCGTTCCGGCGTGACCCGTAATGGGATGTCCTCAGATCTTTGTTTAGTGGCAGTGAGAACTTAGATCTGATTTTAATGAGATTGGCCATGTAACGTAGACCTGTAAATAATGGTCTGGACAAGACAAACTGTTGATATTATGAACAATGACTGTCATGATACGATGAAACACAACCAACCTACCCTGACCACCCAATCCACCAAGTCACTGAGTACACCAGCATAGTTACTGGGGGCCCATTCTAACCCAGAATCCCTCCTCTAGTTATCTATGACAACACCTTTGTAAGGGGCATCTATGTGGCCTCTGTACACTGCACTCACATGCTTTCGGTTGATACTCCTGGTGCCTCTGAACTTGCTCCCTGAGCTCTTCATTCTCCCGCTTCAGCTCTGCAATCACACTGTCCTTCTCGTGGATCTTGCTGGAAACGTACAAATGTGTAACATTAGACTACCTTTTGAATGTCACATCATGAAAACAATGAGTCTATGTGCATAACATACAAAAAATAATATTCAGATGCCATGCAGAAAAAACTTTTTCTGCTTCCAAAAGGTATGATTCACTGATTTTTTACATCAATGTACACATGCTGTTTTAAATTTTGACACAGTTGAACCTTGTTAGTCTCGTTTATTGGGATGATTACTTTAAAAAAACAACAAAAAAATCATCTAAAAATCACCAGGATATTACTCCCCTACCCATGAATCATTAATCAGGATGAATTCTTCAACAGTTCTGTGTTAATGAAGTTTCACTGGGTAGGAATACTGCTCTCCTCAATGTAAATTCCATCTGTTTCCCAAACACTACCATTTAAACTGTAATCACTGATATTGAACCTGTAGATATGTTAAAGGACCAGGAAGGAACAAAGCCTACTTCTCATTGGACACATTCTCCTCCTTGATGCGAGTCAGTTGTTCACTGATCATTGTCTTGGCCTGGATCTCACTCTGGAGGCTGGACTGGAGGTTGAGAAGCTCCATCTTGTCCAGTCGTTGTGACCTTCGGTTCCTCCATCGCTGGCCTCGGGACTGAAAAACACAACAAATTGTGAACTTGCCAAGTGCAGTGCTCAAAATCAAGGGGTCTTGGGATCCCACAGATTTGCTCTGACAGCAGCAGGCACCATTTAATCTCTTACTTTCAACATTATGGATATGACAAGTAACCCTGGACTTTCATGCCAAATTACAAACACTGGACTGTGTTTGTTGCCTAATACAGTACTCAGAAATCTTCCAGCAATGGGACAGCAAAATATTCCAGCCTGTAAATGATCAAGTCTGGACCAGACAATACAGTAATTGACATCATGAGCATCCATCCCCAAACTTGGGATATGATGACATGCTATTAACCAAGACACCAAATCTGTTTGGGTTGCCCATATCTGTACATATTTGGAATGTTATTACCTACATTTGATCCATGTTTCATGCTTTTATCACAAAGTGCAAAACTGAACCTAAAAAATTCACGAAACGGCTCCACTACATAGAGTACAAGTGAGGAAGACAACTCACCGGGTCATCACCGGACACGCCCATCACCTTCAAGTTCTCCAGTTCTTCTGTCATCTTAGTGGCCAATGCTTGGAGATAGCCACGAGCATCCTTCTCATCACTCACCCTTTACAAAACAAAGTGAAATTCCAAAATTATGTTTCAATCTTCCGATCAACATAAACATCAGTCTACAATTCTTACACACTGATATCCTGTTATTTAATTTTTTCACAAAAAGAGTTCTCTTTTCAAAATCTTTAAAATACAAATTATCTGGTGTTTTCATAAATGTTTCATTAGATGTTCGTAATCTGTTTTAAATTAAATAAACCATGCAGCAGCACCTAAAATAAGGTATCACTCAAACGAATTCTGAGCTCAGAGCTTGAGCTACTGCACGGCAGACTACTCCCCTCTACCTCATCACAAGCAATAGTTGTTACTTCGTTTGTTATTTTAAACTGCAATCAGCAATATTCCAGCTGTCTCATAGCAGCATGTAAACAATCAAGCATAGGTAAAAAAAACAGTGGATAATATAATGAGCAAGATCAGGGTACAATGACACATTCAACCAAGTCAAAAAGCCTGACCATCTGATCACACCAAGTTGGTTGGTTTGTTGTTTAACGCCACACTCAGCAATATTCCAGCTATATGACGGCGGTCTGTAAATAATCGAGTCTGGACCAGACAATCCAGTGATTAATATCATGAGCATCGATCCACAAAATTGGGATCTATGACATGCATCAACCAAGTCAGCGAGCCTGACCACTCGATCTTGTTAGTCGCCTTTTACGACAAGCATAGTCACCTTTTACGGCAAGCATGGGTTGCTGAAGACCTATTCTACCCCGGTATCTTCACGGGTCAATCAAACCAAGTGCTAATGGACCTATGCTGACCACTAGGCCACTTACCACTTGATGATCTCCGAGATCTGTGCCTCCCACTGCGCAACGGACTCCCGCTTGTCATAGATGTCCCGAATCTCCTCCTCCAGCTGAGAACGTTCCCGGATGTGATTGTCAATACGATTTTGATACTGAAAGCAAGGGAATGTGTTGATCATTCATGTTGGACAGATAGAAAGAATCACAAACTCCATAAATAACATTGTCCTTTGCTTTTGTAAATAATCTCTTGTTATAACAAAAATAATCTACATTTATATTGTGCTTAATCCAGATGATAATGGCAGCTTGAAGAGCTACAAGGAAGAATAATGAAAATATTTGATGCAAAATTATACCTTGAAATTGGTATGATAAAATACAGAAGAGGAGAGAGAAAAATTTGCAACTTGCAAACAGGTAGGGTTTGAGATTAGCTGTAAAGTTTTCAAGACTGGGAAAGAGTTTCCACAGAACTGGAAGAATATGAGAGAGGACTACACAATGTAATGAAATAATGAATTAGATTACAGTCAGATTATAGTGTTGTCCCCTCCTAATATTCATGTTTAAACCCCATTGTGCAGTAGCATAGACCATCAAGTTCAAGAATCTCATGCCTCCAAATGAGGTGAGGTGAAATTAGGTTTAATGTCTCGTCCAAGATTATTGCACTTATATGGCGATGTGCATGCACGTCTGTGTGTGTCTGGACTGATGCTGATTTATAGTGCTAGCACACTGAGATACCATGCCGCAGTTTAACATGAATACCTCACTCAGACACAGTATACTGACTCCGAGCCGACCAGTCCTTGTTTTAGCCCTTTAATGCTGAGCGCCAGACAGGGTAACAACAAGCACCATCTTTTAACTTCTTTTGGTATGACGCTGCCGGGGATCGAACCCTGGACCTTCCGCTCTCCAGGCGGACGCTCTACCACTAGACCACGGAGGCGGTCCCTTCAAATGAAAACACAGCACAGAGAATGTTAACCTAATGAGACATACCAAACAACAAGTCTTACCGAGTGCACCTCATCCTTCAGTCTCTCCACCTCATTGCTGAAAGCCTTACTCCTCTGTTCATGCATCTCGGCCCGCTGCTTGGACTTATGGAGCTGTTCCTTCAAGTCGTCCACTAGTTGCGGTGACACCTTGGACTTCAGGCTAGTCATATCATGCTGGAGCTCACTCCGCTTAGCTTCCGATTCCTTCAAATGGTACTTTATGTCACTTAGTTCCGTAGAATATTTAGAGGAAGCTCTTGCCAGTTCTTCTTCCCGTTCAACATCCTTTCTTTCTACTTCAGCTTTCAACCTGAAACAATATGATACCACAATTATGAAAGACAAAAGAATATTCAATGCTTATTTCACTAACGCCTTAAACAAAATGAGTGAGTGAGTTGTGTTTAACACCGTTTTTTACAGTATTCCAGTTATATCGCGGCATGTCAGCTTAATGTGGGAGGAAAGCCCGAAGTGATGCAGGTTTCAGACGTTTACCACTTCGGTGAAACCCATGAGCACGGGTATGGTGCTGACAAACCTAGAAACATAACAGCGAATTGCGTCGCCTCAGACGACTGGGCCACCCGTGTCCCCGTTAAATAATAGGAAAGAAAAAGGGAGATGTATGCTGCTGGCCTTGGTGTGTTGGCCAGATATTGGCTCATTCAATGGTACAACACATGATAAATATCTAAGTGTGAATAGCCTGGACAATAGATCCAAGACAATGTCTTGAGTCATAAAATTGTCAAACCAAAAAACAGATTTGAGAGGGGATTCGGAGGATTGACTTGTCATAAGATATCGGAGTAAATCCGTCTGAAGTCAGAATGGTTGGCATCATGTCAGACCCTTCAGTGTTATCTCTGAGACAGTTACCTTGTGATCTCCTGTGTTAGTTCTAGGTTTGTGGAGCTGCTGGACCGACCCATCTGTCTGCGCTTGATTTTTTCCAGCTCTTGTTCCAAATCTGAAACGTACTGCTCTGCTCTTTCCTTCAACCGTTTTTCCTTGCCAGCTTCAGACTTAGCCTCATCGATCTGGTTCTGAGCCTAAATAGGACAGCAAATAAATAAAAGCTTTAAGGTTTAAAAAGCTGTTTCCATGTAACTTGATAACCAAACATATCATGAAAAATAATGTCACAAATATTCATGGAATATGATTCACAGATTTCTTTGTCTTTTTATTGTAATTTGGAAGTTGTTTACAGAGATGCAAGATCTATGGAGATCTTTTAAAAAGGTCCTGTGCTGGAAATAGTTTCATTGTTGAGATGCGTCCAAAATAGATGTCCACATACCCCATGGGATTTGAGGGTCAGAATTGTTCGCATCAACCTGTGCTTGTATCATGGTCAACTAAATGGTCAGACTCAGTGACAGCACTGGACACTGCACCCAACCACTGGTTTCTCTAGTCCAGATTCAATTATTTACAGGGCACCATCATACAGCTGGATATTGATGAATGCAGAGTTTAACAAAAAAGAAAAACACATCCATACCTCACTGATGAGTTTCTCCAGCCTCCTCTTCTCCAGTCGGATACCATCCAGCTTGGACTTGTAATCTTCTGTTTCCTCCTCCTTGTTCCGTGCCTCCCGCGTCAACTCCTTCACCTTCGACTGTGCCTTCAACAATCTGCAACAACATTCATATGTTAAAGGTTTTTTTAAAATTTAACTGTTCTTTTTTAAACAACCTTGGGCATGAAATAACAACAGCCTCAGGCCTTTGTCATGTAATAGTTACTGGTCCATGCAGTCTATAAATGTTTATCCATATAGTACTTACTTCAAAGCTATATACATATTACAAACTCATTAAGACAGTCCATGTCTCTAGGTGAATGTTTTGGTTACTCCCTTCATGACAAAAAGATGACACAACCATCATTTGTTCCTCAGGGACCAGTGTGATGTGGACATCATGAAACTAATGAAAAGTGGACCCTAGCCCCTGGTCCAGATAAACTCTCCTTAAATGACTTGATCCCTGGCAACCCCATTCAATATTATTATTGAAACTTTCAAAAAAAAATTAATGATACCATTTTCAAAACTTTGTTGAGTTTTCAGACAAACATAATTAGCTTCCCACCATGTAACCTTAATTTCAGGACTGTAATCATCTTTAACAATAAATCGTTTTTATCAACACAGGTTCTTCCAACTTCATAAAGCCTAAACAGGCTACTTCCTACATCTGACAAAGGAAAAGATGTCCTGTGTCTACTCTGACACAATTCAAATCCCTTGAAGCAGCCGAAAGCAGAATCAGTTATAATGTTCACCCTTTCAAAAGCTCTGATAACTGGTATAATTTTGAACCACTGCCCATAACAGTAAATCATTGAAAATCACTCACGAATCGTTGGTACTGGTGTACTGTTCCATGGCTAGTTTCTGTTTTGACAAGGCATCCTTGAGTTCTCTCCCTTGGGTCTTGTACTTGTCTCGCCAGTCTTGCAATTCCTGACATAACAAGGATGAAACAATCAATCATACGCAGCGATCAGTTTCCTAATCTCTCCCACCTACATGGAGAGATACTGACTTCACTAACAATGTGATATACACTGCATGAATTACTACTTCGGAGGCATGGTTATAGAGTGCTGCAATTGTTAATGTACAAACCTTTTCAAATGCAGCTTTTTCTTCATCCAGTAATTTTAATTTCCGATCAAGTTCTTGCTTTGAATCAAACATTTTCTTCAGATCTTGTTCCAAAAGGCTGACCTCGCCTTGGGATTCTGAAAAAAGTGATTCCATATTAAACCTGGCATATTTCTTTCACACATACACAATCATGTTCATTTTTGGACTGGGTAAAAAAATGTGTGACTTCTTTGTTTGTTGTTTAATGCCGCATACAGCAATATTTCAACTCTATGACAGCAGTCTGTAAATGATACTGGATCGGACAATCCAGTGATTGATATTGGATGTAACAATCCATGCCGTCAGGGTACGCTGACTCGCCATCAACCAAGTCACTAAGTCGAACCACCTATCCATTTGGTCAACTCACACAACCAGCATAGGTTGTTGGGGGCCTATTCTTATCCAGAATCAAAGGTTAAGAACATATGGTAAAAAAAGTATTGAACAAAGGTAACACACCTGCTACAACCCTGTGTAAAACCGCCACCTCTTCCTTCAGCTGCCGCACTTCATCGTCAGACCCTGAAGCTGCTGCTGCTGCTACACCATTGATGTCTTGTGTTGTCCGCAACTCATTTATTGTTGCAGTTGTTTCTGTGGGTAGAAAACAGTTTCAATGTGTGGTGGAACCCTATATTAGTGCTGTGATACACAAAGTCTTGTAAATAGATTCAGGAAAACTCTACTAAACATAATCAGTACCATTGAATGCTATCGAAACAATTCAAAAAGTGAGCAGAGCTCACTAACACCCCTACTAATAACTTGACTCAAACATCAGCTGAAGAACAATTTTGATCTTGACGCCGTAAGGTTTGAGCCAGTTTCTCTTAAAAAGCACAATAATATAACTTAGTAATGCATGATTCAAAGATGCACCGGAGCATCATCAGCAAGCTTTGCCCTTATAGGTCGGTGGTATAAAAATATTTCGAAGTTCCAAACATGAAAAAAAAGAAATATTTTCTCAGAAAATCCATGTATCAAAATCAAACTTTGCAGTGCACCTCTCCTATTGGTATATAAACTGTATCACCAATTGGAAAAGAATCCATGAAGTAGTTTTCAAGTTATAGGTCACATAAATGTTGAAGTAAAAAAATATTTTAAGTTCAAAACATGTCAACATTTTTTTCTCTCAGAAAATTCACATATCAAATTAAAACTCTTCTATTATTGTGAAAACTGTTCCCTAAATCTGAAAAGAATTCATGTGGTAGTTTTCAAGTTACAGGACGGACGAAAGTTGAAATAAATAAATTCTGAAATTAAGTCAAAACATGAAAAATAGCTGTAGGACAAAAAAATTGAAAAAAAGTGAGTTGAGTTTTAGGAGTCTTCTTGCATCAATATCCAGCCATATCAGGGGCGGTGGCACAGAACATTGTGGTCACTTATTTTATCGACATGAGGCATCAAACTCCAGCCTAAGACATGGTGAGCCAACAAGTTAACTACTAAGCTACCCTCCATTGTATGAAGAGGTGAGGTGAGGAGAAATGAGGTTTAACGTCACGTCCAAGATTATTGCACTTATATAGCGATGTGCATGTACGTGTATGTGTTTGTGTGGCTGCCTGTACTAGTCCGGACTGATGCCGATTTATAGTGCTAGCCCACTGAGATACCATGATGCAGTTTACCATGAATACCCCACTCAGACACAGTATACTGACTCCGAGCCGACCAGTCCTTGTTTTAGCCCCTTAATGCCGAGCGCCAGACAGGGTATCAACAAGTACCATCTTTTAACGTCTTTTGGTATGACGCGGCCGGAGATCGAACCCTGGACCTTTCGCTCTCTGGGCGGACGCTCTACCACTAGGCCACGGAGGCGTTGTCCATTGTACGAAGAAGAATAAAGTCATAGATGACAAATTACTATACCAAGTAGTTTCTAATGTGTGCAAATGACCTACCATGAATTTTCATCATTAAGTCTTTGTTTTCTTTTTCTAGGTTCCTGATCTTTCTCTCATAGGTTTCCACTAAAGATCCGTCCACAGTGTCTCCATTCTTCCCCTCAGGATCAAACAGACAGGCCACATCAGACAGTTTACTGCAAAAATAACACATAATTAATAAATTCTTCTGGCAGTTTTTAGATTCTTTTAACCTTCATACTTTCAACTCTGAGCTGATGTAATACACTAAATGGGACATTATCACATCTTCGAGAAAATTAAAGTCAACCTTTATCATAACAACTGTTAAGACAAACAATTATTGCAAGGAGGATTATATACAGAAACATGCAGGTAAAAGCAACATGACGAAGATCGGTACTTACGAATTGCGTGTAAATGAGAAACCAATAAAAGGCAGGTGGTGTCCTTTAAATGCAGTGTATGTGGCTGGTGGGACTGTGTCCTGCAAACAAAGGGGGGTTACATGTACTGGCATGATCTTCTCTCAGCTAATGTTTAACAGTAGGAATCTGACCTAACACATGACATTTACTGTGTTCTTCAGTGAATCTTCATGTTTATCGATGAGAGAGAGCAAATATGGTTCCATGCCCAAGTCTGCAATATTCTAGCTGTATCACAGAACCCTGTAATAATCAGGTTGGGCTTTGCAAACTAGTGACTCACAGAAGGAGTATTGATTCACATTTATGGTGCACTATGACATACAATCACCATATACACAATCACAATACACATATCCACCAGGGTGCGGTTCTACAAAGCGTTCTCAGCGTTAAGATGACTTCCATAATCTTAGATAGACTTACGACAGTCACAGCACTAAAATTCCTTTCATGGAAGAGGGCCCTGGAACCACTTGCACAAAGCGATCTTAGCGCTACGACTATCTTAAGTCTATGTTAAAGTACGGCAGTTACGATAATCGTAGCGCTAAGATCGCTTTGTGCAAGTGGGCCCTGAACCTTACTGGCCAGCTCTTACAATTGTAAGCATGGCATACTTATAGGGGTCGATTTAAGGAACTAGACAGATATACCTTGCACCTGGCAACTATCACATGATTGCCATTAATTGGACCGCATTTAAACAAACAAATGTCCTGTGTTCAGCGACACATGAAGCTACTTAATCCATCCAATGTGTAATGTGCCTTCTATGGTATTAGTCATCCACAAAACACTTCTGTCCTTCTTCCCCTGAATCTTCACTCAGGTAATGCCCTTCACACTGAATACAAAGTGTTGCTGATTTCAGCAGTTTGGGAAGCATGCACTATGCGATTACGTTTGGAGCAGTCAAACCAAAGGTTAAATAGTGTGAGTACCTATTGAAGTCTTCACACAAAACCAGCCACAATTGGAACCATTCAAACTTCAAGGGATGGACTTTGTGAGTGGTCCTGTGGACTGGGGCCATCAAAAATCATAAAGGCCTTGCTATCCTATGAACTAGGTGAGCTGATGAGCCAGCTGATACATGATCAACTTACAGTGGAATAACACATTAAATCCCTGTCATACAGATTGTCTACAGAAATGTGTAAACTGAACTTACTGTATGTCGAAAATCTGTGTCGTCTACATCAAAGTTGGAAGTGTCAGTAGGACTCGAGACTTCAGGCTTGTAAGGGGCCTCCACTGTGAACAGACATTGGACCTTAATATCCATACAAATGAGAAGGGTTCTTACAGAGTAATAATAGAAGTAGAATACTACTACTCAACTGAGCATTTGATAGGGAGCATCTGGGCAAGGTCTGAATGGGACTGATTGCTCAGATATGTTGTCATAATATTCGAACTTGCCATAAACCTGAAGCATGTGCAGCTACTAGGGCTGCAACGAATACAATCCAGCTTTAGAAATTGGCACTAGTCCTGTAGTCCTTACCAAACTGCCCAATACTAAAGGTATCCTAAGGACTAGTAGAAATTGGCCCATTTTAAGGGTTTTGCTATATGTTATCATTATAAGGACTAGTGGACAAAAACTGTTAGTTTCTAACCCTGATACACTATGAAGAGAATACGATAAGAATCATGAACATAGGGTATCGAATACAAACATTTATTCACGAATACAACAAGTCAGCAGTTGATGTATTATTTCTTATATTCAATGAAAGATACAATGATCGCTCGCTACAACGCTAGCTTTGCGGACCAAATAATTGATTAAATTATGGCCTTTCAGCCGTTAAACCAGGTACAGTTGTAGTAACCCACACGACAGATTACTGCATGGCTTGTGTATATTCCATTTAAATATCTTGCTTTGATAAATAACAGACAACTTCAAGTAAAAAAAACTCTTTTAAATTTTTTGTGGGTAAATATTCGATTCTAGTGACCATGAATAACCAATTCAATTCATGAAGGGATACGGTTTGATTCACCAAGTATGAGAGTGAATCAGCTCTAATAAATATACAGTTTGATAAGGTATTGTTGTCAGCATAAAGTATCTCAGTATCCTCATCAAATGTTGAGTATATAACATGAATAACTGTAGGAATATTTTCTAGTCTCTCACGAAATAAAAATAGTTTATCGACAATAATTATCAATGACAATTTCAAAAGCTCTGGTGCACTACTAAAAGGTACATCTTCATTAATGCAAGCATTGTTATTCACACATTGGATCTCAACAAATGGTCATGCTACTTACTGTCTCTAATGTTGTTCCAGTCAATGCCACTGAACCAGTTATGATTTCTGAAGTCATCAAGTCCTCCTTTGCCGAATCTCTTGTCAGCACCACAGATGAGCTGCCTGATGAGATCCTTGGCTTCTTGAGACACGTCGTCTACATCTGTCGGGAACTCAAACCTTGTCTGATGGGAACAGAAATGATTACACCATAAAGCCTTCGCACAGATAGGACTTGCATCTCTTGTCTCTCTACTTTTGATTTAACAAATGTGACACAGAAGCATGAATAAATTTTATTGTTACGATTAAAAGCAATAAAAAAAAGTAAATATACACTACAGCATTAAATATGTGGACTGCTAAACTACTATCCAGGGATCGATCTATCTATACAAAACATGCACCAGTGCAACCTATTAATGAAAAGTACAACCTTATATTTATGGCTATATACACAAAGTGCATGTCAGAATACATTCAAATTCGTCTGACCGACCCTTGCTTGGGCACCTGGTGCAAGTTAAATCAAGTTCCTTAAATCAAGCCCTGCCCTCCCCTTCACAAGCGAATATACTACTCAAAAGAAGTTCAAGAACACAAAATTCTTCCAAATTACTATCGTCAATCTGAAATATTCAGGTTGATCCTTAAGTTCTTTTTTGTAGTATATTTCCTGACAATAAATCAAATCATAAAGAGCGTTTGCATCCACAACCTTGTCTTCATATTGTAGATCTGCACTTACTTGATGGTTCATAATCTTGCCGTATGTTTCCACCAGGGATTCAGCATAGAACGGTGTCTCACCATACAACATCTCGTACATACACACACCGAGAGACCACCAGTCACACTCGGGGCCGTATTTACCATGACCGTCCTCCATAGCCTGGAAACAAACACACATACCATACAGATAATTTCATAATTTCCAAACGGAGTGAAAGAAAGTATGTTGTTTTCAAGAAAGCATAAATCCAGCTATGAAACTATCAACTCTGGACCAGGCAAACCAGTGTTTGAGAGACTAAACAATGATTCACACAGTATGGGTACTATGACCCCTACATGTATGAGCCATTTCTCACTCTGTAACCCACCCAATACACATTTCAGTCAGCTTTTAGAACATACAAAGGGTATTTGGACCTTACTCTTGAAATTCCCATGGGGATATTTTTTTCAACAGATTGATAATACCACATCGTTAATCTATACCTTCACCTCCACAATGTTTGGGCGAAGTAAAGATGATATACCTTTGGCATCCTTGGTGATCATGATTGAATTACCATCAGTGCATAAATTACCTAACTTGTCTGATACAAGCTATTAAGCAGCAAGTTTTATTTCAACAATTTGCCGAATACCTGTTTCACATGTGATCAAAATATTGGTGAATAATGGTCTATCCAATGCAGAAGTTAACTTCATATAGAGAGTACAGTCAAGTCCTGTTAATCTGACACTTGTTAATCCGACAATCGGCTTTATCCGACACTAATGATGAGAACCGATCAGTGCTATTTAGACCCTTTAAACCGACAGTCGTGCACTCCAACACCCAATTTCCAACGAAATACCGAAATCACTCATTAATCAGTCTCGTCAATCCGACACAGTGATTGGCGTACTCAGTGGTCATCTACCCGCGTCAGCCCCGTATTTTGATGCGAGACAAGTCGGCTGGTAGCTGCATTTTACAACGGCTGCAGTGATAAACTTGCTTAACAATAAACAATTAATGTTTTAAATAAATAAAACAGGATTAATCGCATGCTTCGATAACCTTAATCTCATCAAAATCAAAATCCCATTACAGGTCACGTCTGAACGACCTTGCGAACTTTGACCGACTTACTAACAGGAAGTTGAAATTAGCCACTGAGAAAGCAGCTGTCTAGAGTTTTGCGGCACTAGTTTTAAACTGGCGACTTCCATCCAAGACAACCCTTTATAAAGAATTTTAAATCAGTCATATAGGCCGTAACCGTAGTTTTGTGTTAAACTTTAGAGGTTGCATGAGTAGAAAACATATTCCGCTAACAATGTAATATAACAATATGAATATTTCATTTGTCATGTTTTTATTACGTGCTCATATCGTTATCTATCATGTAGTTGTCCGATATTTTATCATGAACATTGATACTAGTTAATTTCGTTTATCTGACATACTCTTTAATCTGGCATAATTATATGTAACCAACCATGTCGGATTAATGGGACTTGACTGTATACAGCAATGTTCATAATAAATCAGAATAGTCAAGGGGTCCTTGTCATAACGCTAATGATAAAGGTAAAGATTGTGGCGTACCTGCTTTAAATGCCCTAGGACCCCACTTGATACAAAGAAAAATACATGTGACTTACTCTTAGGATTTCAGGTGAGATGTAATCTGGTGTTCCCACAGCTACTGAGGACTGCACCGTTCCGTCAGCCATCAGTTTGAGACATGACCCAAAATCAGCTAGCACTATATGACCACTTCTATCAAGAAGCACATTGTCGGGTTTGATGTCTCTATGTACATAACGAAGTTTATGAAGAGAGTCTATAGCAAGGACCATCTCAGCAATGTAGAACTTGGACATGTCTTCTGGCAGGCGGTCCTCGAACTTGCTGAGCAGCGTGAGCAGATCTCCACCACAATAGTAATCCATAACAAGATACTGCAAGAGAGAAGCAGGTAGTGAGACAGTGGAGCAAGTCTTCATAGCAAGTGAATGTTGTTTTATGCAGCTGTCAGCAACATTTCAGACATATCATGGTGGTCTGTGAATAATGGTCTGGGCTAGGCAGGCCAGTGGTTACTAGAGCGAGCAATAATCTGAAAGTTAGTTAAATGACACACAATTAGGTTGGACATTCACTGTAATCACCATATCAGTGATAGAGACTAATATTCGTCGTTCACTAGTCTTTATAATATAAAAACAAACTAACAGTAAAACCCTTAAAAATGGCAAATTATACAAGTTCTTTTGAAACCTTAACTACTGGGCAGTTTGGGAAGGAATATAGGATTTGTGCCAATTTCTATGGCTGCCACATTGTTGTCAACTCTTGGAACAACCAATTCTGCCCTGGAATCTCGAGAGCATCAATAGGAGGAAAACCTTGGCTGGGTATTATCATTAGTTTGTGGAAGTTGAAGCAACCAATTCCCTTATAACGGTGTAGACAGATCTATGAATTACTGGACAACTACTTTGCCTTCTATTATATGTTCAGGCTGCCAAAAATGAATGAGTTAGTGAGTTGGCCTTAATGGCCCTTTGAATAATAATTCTGGTACGTAACAATAAGTCAGCCTAATGTGGGACATCTTCCCCGGTCAAGCGTGTCCACTAGCCTATATGAAAGATTAGTTTCTACTCTTGCCAAATCTAGGCAACATTTCTTGGCTCGACCCTGGCACCACCTCGCATAGATCGCGACCTTTCGCGAACTTTGACCGATCACTGAAACGACTAACAAGAAGCCGAAATCAGCAAATCCGAAAGCAGCTTTCACGAGCTTTACGGCACACATTCAACCTGGTGACTTCCATTTCAGACACACTTGAAAAATATCTTGACTCAGTTCTCGATTAATTTTTTTTTAAACTGAACAAACGAACATTCAGGAATGTCTAATATATGGTTGCGATTGCGATATATGGTATGGCAGTGCTTCCTTCGTACTGTGCAACGCCTCCTCCATTCAAATGTTTATCCCACGGAAGGGAGAGATAGACAATAATTTTGACGGAATCATAAACTGATTAGTGGGGCTTCACCAGTAGATAAGTAGCTATTTGAAGCAATAGTGATAGTTACTAGCCTGCGCGATTTGCGCTCATCAGTCGTACGGGCTGAAACCGTCGTTAGGAATACCCCGTTAAGGTTTTCAAGGTTGCATTATTAGAAAACACATTCCGACTGTCACTTTCATGATCTAGTAGGCGACACTCTGATTGGTCGGAGGAAAGGTCGTTCTGACGTGACCCGTAATGGGATTTCCTCAGATCTAGTGGATGCTCTTGCTTCGGGAAGATAAATGTGGGAGGAAATCCTGAAGGGATGCAGGTCACAGATGTTTAGTTTTGGTGGACACCACAAGCACATATATATATATATGGTGGTGACAATCCAAGAAACATCATTAGGGCGACTCTGTGATCAAAACTCACGGTCCCAGGATTCACCTTGGCATTTTCAATGACACTAAGACAGGGTTATCCATGACCCAACCGAAAGCTACTAGTCCTTGCACCTTCTCACTTGACTGGATCATGTAACTGTAATACTCGTACGCTTTAATATCCCCCAAAATAATTTTCAGAAACAATTATCATCAAATAAATAGATTTAATCATCAGTGTACGCTCTCCCTCACAAACTACGATGGTCACCCATCTTACCAGATAATGCTCATCCTGGAAGGCGTAGTGTAGGTTTGTTATCCATCTCCGATCTCCATACACCAACACATCCCTTTCCTCCTTGAAACAAGCAGTCTGAAATACAGAAACATGTAATTAAACATTGTTCTGTTGTTAGACCAACATATAGTCAAGGAAATGTTTTTTTATACATTACATTACTCTCTTCTAAAATTTCCCCCTTACAATTCTGATGCTGTTTTAATAATAATAGAGAGCTGGCCAGACTTGTTATTCTATAAATCTAGATTGGTTTTGTTTTCATAAAATTACATATATTCCAATCATGGCGCAGGACTATCCTGTTGTAGGTATTTGTATGGACATCACCAGTCAACATGGTCAATGGGTATACTGATTATGCCTGTTAGTTCATCACTGTATATTCCTATGTCACAACTGCTTCATCACAAAGTTTGACATTACTTATTTCAGATTTTTTTTGTTTCAAATGACTCATTGTGAACATGCATACATATCTAAAATTTAATGACACCTCATCCATGACACCCAGTATGTTATTTGACAACAAATCCAAGGAATGACTGGACAACAAATCTAAGGAATCAAAGCGAATGCGTTGTTAATTTTCATACATCCAGAGCAATTGTAAAAATATGTTTTATTATAGATGGTGATCTACATTAGTGTGAGTGAGTGAGTGAGTTAATGCTTTACGTCACATCAGCAATATTTCAGCTATATCGTGATGAGAAGTTAGACATTTTTAATAATTTGAACCAAATAAAACCTGTCATCGAGAGACAGTAAAATTACTAGAATATCACAGATTAATGTTTAAAACTAGCATACAACCATAAAAAGATATCACTAAAAGAAACAGTACAATAGGCTATAGATCGCCAGCAGCTGAAGGTAGATCACCATGCTAGGGTCCATGGGGACTTACAGTACCTTAACTACCTGCATGGGCCCCAGCCGGATTTACATCATCCCCTTAGCTGATGGCGATTATTGACAAGTTTAGCCAGATTAAACGCACACATATTCTACGATTAAAATTGTGGTAATCTACATTAAGTGATTTACAATATACCAGTAATACATTTGCCTGGTGGTTATGATTTATGAAGTAAAATAGCTGGGTAGATTAATGGACACACAAACTAACAATATTTAACGACATATAACTACGGATTCTGGAGCAATAAGTAAGAGTCCAGCAATACTACACAATGACACGCTGTACCATGTGTACAGGGAGGCAATGTAACCTAAAACATTTACCTGCCTGAATAGTGATAACATAAATCAACACCCACTTAAAAGCCTGACAAATACTACTCTACTGGCGCTAAGATTACGTTTAACATTGGACAAACTGACTTGGCTACTGAGGCAATAATAATGACCATAAACATAATGCATATTAAGAAAGTGTCACTTTTCAAACACAAATTAATTAATAAATTTCACGAAGAATGTTTGAATTTTTAGGCAAACCTCTGGACCTAAAAGCCTGTCTATATTTTTCACATCTTCATCAAGCTAAAATTGTCTTACTCGCTTTCTTTTCATCACTTTCTCTCTGCTAAGACACTGAACAACCATTCCTGTTAAACCAAGGTAATCAACAAGTGTTTGTTTTTTTAAAGCATAAGCTTGTCTAAAAGAAATATATATGTTCTCAGACGCTTAACTACACTTACTGGACCAAGTCAATATGTACTAGTTGCTAAGCCCATAATCAGCAACACACACGGCATAGGACAAGCTGACAATTCATCTCCAGATACTGATTAGTCTCATAAATGGAGAGACAATAACATCAGCTGAAAGGGACACTGGACACTCCACACATGCACACTGCACTCCAGCTCAGCCTCTACTTTGATCAAAGAAGACATTAACTTGAATATTAACTTGCTAATTAAGATCACTGATTAGAAATTTCAGAATCAATATAGACCTGTAAAGATCCGCGTTAGAATAGGTCTTCAGCAACCCATGTAAAAGGCGACTAACAGGATTGGGTGGTCAGACTTGCTGACTTGGTTGATGCATGTCACCGTATCCTAAATGCGTAGATCGATGCTCATGATATCAATCACTGGACTGTCTGGTCCAGACTCGATTATTTACAGACCACCATCATATCATGCATATAGCTGGAATATTGCGGAGTGTGGCGTTAAACAACAAACAAAGAAAATCACTATAAGTCATCTATCCATGACTGCTGTACTTAAGTGATACCTATAAGCTATCATTGATATAGTTTATGTTGTCAAAAGATGAAGGAACCTTAACATTTATCACAACATATCCAGATTGTTTATGTACATATTAAGCACATTTGAAAATTCTGTGATTATGTTGTAAATCGTAACCATTCTTGTCACATCAGAATTATGTTAATAGTACACTGTAATTTGATGTCTTGTACCACTGTGGGTCTTGAAATATAAAGATTGATTGATACTTTCATTATCATTATAATGTGTATTGATGTCTTCATTGTGTATCAATACACTATTGAGCAACACATTGTATCCAAACATCGACACTTCAATTTCCATGACAGGACTACTGTTAATACACACACCCAGAATAATTTCTGACAGTGTACGTGAAGCGAGACAGTGAGGCATACCTGGCAGGCATCTCTGCTACTGACCTACTATGTACCCAGTGACATTTACAGAAGCTCCTACATTGTGATGCAGACAGAATGTGTGCATTCCTTCAGTTTTTTCTGCCATGGAACTTCCATGTTCTACAGCTTATCCTTGCCAATGTCCCTTAGGCAGAACTTTCTGTATTTGACTAGTCATCTAGTTGCAATTTTGCTTCTTTTTTTGTGAAACATAGAATTGATAAACATCTATGATTTGAAAGCCTTTTGATTACCCACTTGGAAATCACTTGATTTAGATCACAACTCAAAAGTACTGTTTCAACTCTTAACAACTTAATAAATTAAATTTGTTCTTAAAACAAAATCAAGGATGTATGAGTGAGTGAGTGAGTGAGTGAGTGAGTGAGTGAGTGAGTGAGTGAGTATGGTTTTACGCCGCTTTTAGCAATATTCCAGCAATATCACGGCGGGGGACACCAGAAATGGGCTTCACACATTGTACCCATGTCGGGAATCGAACCCGGGTTCTTCGGCGTGACGAGCAAACGCTTTAACCACTAGGCTACCCGACCGCCCCAAGGATGTATGAAATGGACATGAACAATATAAGCACTGGAAATTCCAAAGCATTTGATTTATACTGTTGCCAATAGGTAAATCTGCTAAATGATAAGGGAGACTACATTGGTAGTTGTTTTCTTGCCAAACCTCCTTGGTTTTGTTTGTTTGTTTGTTTGTTATTTAATGACGCACTCAGCAATATTCCAGCTATATGACAGTGGCCTGTAAACAATTGAGTCTGGACAAGACAATCCAGAGATCAATATTGTGAGTGTTGGGTTGACACGCAATCAACGACATCACCGAGTTTGAACACCTGATCTATTTAGTCGCCACTTACGTCCAGAGCAAGTATCTGGGTAACCTTCCAACTCAGAATGCCCACGGGGATCAACTGATTGTTTGTTGTTTAATGCTGCACTCTGCAATATTCCAGCTATATGATAGCAGTCTGTAAATAATCGAGTCTTGACCAGGCAATCCAGTGATTGACATCATGAGCATCAATCCACGCAATTGGGATAAGATGACATGCATCAACTAAATAAGCAAGCCTGACCACCCAATCTCATTAGTTGCCACTTACGACAAGCATAGTCACCATTTACCGCAAGCATGGGTTGCTGAAGACCAATTCTACCCCGGATTTTCACGGGTCACTGCCCATGGGGATGTAGATGTACGAACGTTTGACAGTGCTGCATTAATATGAGGTGCTGTCAACATTGTGCCAGTGAACACTTTGCTTACCTCCGCTCTCTTCAGCATCTCCCACTTGTTGAGGATCTTCATTGCATAAACCTGCTCTGTCTGTTTCTCCTTCACCACTGCCACCTATGGAGAAGCAAAGAGATATTAATTGACATTGCTTCATCTTCAGTAAGATAAGCCTTGGAAACAGGACTAGAAACATAATTTCTAATAATTGGCCTCTTGTTTTTCAAGCGTGTCATTGGGCACTTTATATGTGCCCTTTGGAGTGAGTGAGTGAATTGGGTTTAACGCCGCTTTTAACAGTATTCCAGTCATATCGCGGCGTGTCAGCTTCATGTGGGAGGAAAGCCCGAAGTGATGCAGGTCTCAGACGTTTACCACTTCGGTGAAACCCACGAGCACGGGTATGGTGCTGACAAACCTAGAAACATAATTGGGGCGAACCGGGATTCGAACCCACAATCATAGGTTTCTGGCGTGTCCAAGGGACGCGACTCTGCACAGCGAATCGCGGCGCCTTAGACGACTGGGCCACCCGTGCCCCCTGTGCCCTTTGGAACAACTCTTTAGATCAATATGCCTTTGGCATATGTCGCAAAAATAAAAAAATCCCTCCTTTGATCGCATCAAATTGTGGAGTGGTAACCTTTGACAAACCCCATGTTGGGATGTTCAGAAATTAGTTTATCCCCCCTCTAATTACTTTTCTGAGGATCCTTTCAAATTATTCATAACATTGTCAGAAAAATAGTTGCCAACTTGTAATTCTATTGTCTTCCTTTGCTGGACTGTCATTCTTCACCTTGACAGTTAACGGAGAAGAAAAAAACGCAACGGTTGTCCGTCGGGACATATTGTTGTCTGCTTGAGTGCCACCTCCCTATACATGAAAGCCAGTAAATGTGTTGTGTGTTATGAGCAGAGAGAATAAAAATGGTGGTGTTTATGTTAAGAGAAAGAAATATGCTGGCACTTATACTTAATTGTATTTGCTTGGTTTTTTTCATGTATCACATATTAAATATTGTTGCAGATAGTATTTCAATAAAAAAAACTGATTCTTTAGAGTGCTCTCATGGCACCAGGAACCTATCTCAACTGTGCCATGGCCAAGTAAAGGACCCCTTGGTCAGACAGCATATTGAGTGAGTGAGTGAATTGGGTTTCATGCTACGATTGGTGTTATTCCAGCCATATCACAGCAGGGTTGGTTGGTTGGTTTGTTGTTTAACGCCACACTATATTCCAGCTATATGACGGCGGTCTGTAAATGATCAAGTCTGGACCAGACAATCAAGTGAATGATATCATGAGCATCGATCCACGTTAGTTGCCTTTTACGGCAAGCATAGTCGCCTTTACGGCAAGCATGGGTTGCTGAAGACCTCTTTTACCACGGAATCTTCATGGGTCCACAGCAGGGACACCAAACTATACCTATATGGGGAATCAAAGCCAGGTCATCAGCATGTCGAGCCAACACCACAAGTTTACTCCACTGGCCTGACACAATGACCCAAGAGTCAAAGCTCACCTTACAAACCTCATTGTTGATAAGCAGTCCAAACGATTCTCATTTACAGCGTTAGAAATTGGCACAAGTCCTATAGTCCTTACCAAGCTGCCCAATAGTAAAGGTATCCTAAGGACTAGTAGAAATTGGCCTTTTTAAGGGTTTTGCTATATGTTATCATTATGAGGACTAGTGGAAAAAAAATGGGAGTTTCTAACCCTGATTTATATTTATACTAATATGAGGATGAATACAGGGTTAAATACACTTGCTTCTTATATAATCTTATAAGAAACTGACCAACTGAAAATAAATTACCCCTTTTCCAAACACATGAATTTCTGTGTATTCTGTCTAGAAAAATGGAACCCTTCCCACTTCACACAAAAAGCTAGGTAACAGAAATTCCTCCTCACATAATCTGATTCATGTAGAAGATCTTGATGAAGAAATAATGGTTTAAGTAGTAAACCCCAGGACCAAAGATTGAATGAGCTGTCTTGGGGAGACAAATCTCAGGGTTAGAAATTGGCACTAGTCCTATAGTCCTTGCCAAACTGCCCAAAAGTAAAGGTATCCTAAGGACCAGTAGAAATTTGCCATTTTTTAAGGTTTTGCTATATGTTATCATTATAAGGACTAGTGGACTGAAACTGTTAGTTTCTACCGCTGAATCTGACTACAAGCTATTCTTACAATATGTTGTTATTCTGTGTTATTGAGCATGTTGAGGTTGACAATTACTTTTAAAATAACATTACCATCAAGATAATATAGTTCCTTTTGGTATTGGTACATGATTTTCGTTCATACTTCATGACATGTGTTGATTCTGTTGTTAGTACACTGTAAAAAACCCTGTCTTTTCAGAAAATTTAGTTGCCCTGACTTTCACTCTATTAGAAGCATGCATGAGGTGACCACCTTCATTGAAATCAATTTTTTAAGTTAGAAATCAAATACAGCAAAAATAACACATGTCAACAAGGTGGGGAATCCAACCTAGGCCTTTGGCCTAGCGAGTGAACACATCAACCACAAGGCTACCAATTTGGAAATTTGGTTACCTTTTATTACACTTCTGATTTTTATTCAGTATTCCAAATTGTACAACTACATATTCAATTTAGGTGTTTTTCACTGCGGTACACCATCTACATACAGTGTTCCTTACTATTGCGCCCATCAATACAGCGTTAACTCAGCTATAACATGCAGAAATGTATGGCTCCCAAAACTCAAGTTTACACTGACACAATATGTTTTTTCCCCATCGCAAAAACCATTACCAGCTTATCACTGCGAGCACGCAACACCGGGAATACCAATCAACATATCTGAACTGAACTTCGCAATTATTCCTATTCTTACACTATCTGGTTATAAAAAAACCCGTTCATTGTATATTTGGACTTAGGTTTGTCATATATTTTATTAATTTTATTCAAAATTTCTTTCAATATTGTTTACAATAATTTCAGTGAAACTGTGAAGGGATGGGTAGATCGCTTAACTCATTATTTACAGCAACCAGTCAGATTACCACTACTGACACCTTGAAATGAACTTTTGTTGACAGAAAATGGGCACACATATCATAAATGCCAAACTTTGACTCGTAAAAAGTATTATTGGTTGTAGTTTGACTGTTACGTGTCAACAAAGTTTTTGTGATCGATAATAATATTATTGGGTATCTTTTAACCTAATCACCAGCAGATTGGGAGAAAACATGTGCACAGCTGACTGCTGTTTCCGGCTTAGTTTACGAGACATAACACACAGTAATCCTAATCTCTGTATATAAAACAATGACTAGCAGAACAAGAAATACAATTTAAATGGTAAATCATCATGTCTGCTGATATTTTACCTCAGTCTTTTCAATTTTTTATTGACCAAGTTTTTTATACCTGTTCGTTCACCAGAATCCGCTGAAGGGATTCTGTGTGTTTTTCTGAGCTTAACACGCAATAGATCTTTTTTTTACATTATGAATCATAAACAACTACATTCTTCGAATCTTTTTCAAACTCTGAAACGTGCAGTGTAGATCATGTTCGGTAGGCAAAGCAAGCGTTGTTTGTCATCCACACCCTACGACTTCACCTCAGCTAAACCACTGATCATCTATAACGCTCATCAATTATTTGGACCCCCAATGTAATGTTGTAGCAAGGGATCACTGATGAAGTTAACAATTGAATCTGACACCTGACTTGACCTGTGTGTTTCAGTATCAGTATTAGTAATTTCCTGATCCACACACAGACAAGGAAGTGCATCTGTTTTCCTCCAGCATCTCACATATCATACCATACTTCCTTACAAATATCACAATATAACATCAAACATTTCATCTTGGTCATCACATCTAAAAGGAAGACTAACATATTTTTTAATTTCGTTCAGTGAAATGTTTGATAGAAGATATGTCTCTCACATACATGTAGTGTCGGTTAAGGTTTAAATATTCTTCTCAATAGTTAGATTTCACAAGGCCACAATTGACAGGTAATGGCAAGGCAAAACAGAGTAAATGAATCAACCTGCCGGACAACAGTAACTTTTCAGCAAAGGAGCTATATTATCTGAACTTATAACCATTATTCAATGACTGGTCAGATATATTTTGTTTTACAATTTGTTAATCCTAAAGTGACCTTGACCTCCAGACATATAGAGAGCATCATGACATGAATATCAAGTTTGGTCAAACTGCATAAAAAATACTCCAGGTGTTAAACAAAGTGATCAGCTTTATTTGTCAAATCACTGACCTTGACTTTAGCACAGAACAAATTCCAAAGGGTCATGCATGAGTAACGGGTGTATGAAGAATAAGCTAACTAACAAGTACTGAGCGAGTGAGCGGTTTTACGCTGCTTTTAGCAATATTCCAGCAATATCATGGCGGGGGACACCAGAAATGGCTTCACGCATTGTACCCATATTGGGAATCGAACACAGGTCTTCGGCGTGATGAGCGAACATTTAACCACTAGGCTACAAGTACTGAGTGACAGTACTGGGCTAATAGGAAACAAGTAATGCTGTTGCAGTCAAAAAGGGGCTGCTTAATTATCAAGCTGAGGACGTTTCTGGTGATTTAATGGGCGACATCCTCAGGTCATCACTCGTGCTCATCCCTTTCACAACTAAAGCCTCCACAGTTTTAAGCTAGATTGCACATCTTTCATTCTGAAAGTGAAGATAACTATGATAACATCTAGTGCCTAAAGAAACACTGATGTTAAAAATACGTGGAAGTGTATGTTGAAGGTAACATCCTTACCTCTCCAAAAGCACCCCTCCCGATGATCTTCAGGGTTTCGAAGTCGTCTCGGTGGAGTCGACATGTCTTGATTTTGCTGACTATTGGTTTTGCTAAAATAAAAAAAGAAACATTTGACTTTCAACAAATTATAAGTTTCAAACCATTTTTTTATCCAAATTGCCACAGTGCAGATAGTAAATATTGGAACCTGGACCAGCCAAACCAGTGGTGGTGGATAGTGTGTGTATTAACTCAATGTATGGGGCAGGATGACACACAAACAGACAAGTCCAACATGACAAGAATGGGATACTTAGGACCTTCACCTGAAAATTCCTTTTTGGGGGGGGGGGGGGGGGGAAGAAGAGAGAGAGAGAGGGGAAAGAAGATTTATGAAGCAGTTCAAACTGAAGTTTGTACAAAACACATGAGGGGATTCCAATTGATCTACCAACCATGCTTGTCTTGCTCGTTAACAATTTTGATATCAAACACATGCCCACTATAGACCTTTAGTTTAAACATATTACTATTAGTTCAGCTTATAATGGTTATATTTTTGCTGGGATATATTTTTAAAATGGATCATCATGGAGCTGCACCATGAGCATAATTTGACTAGACCACAGCTCAATCTAAGTATTGGTTCATTGACCCGTTAGAATAGGTCTTCAGTAACCCATGCTTGCCGTAAAAGGCGACTTCTTGTCATAAGAGGCTATGAATATCATTGTATCCCCATTGCGAAGCTTGATGATCATGTTGTCAATCACTGGATTGTCTGGAAATAGGAGGGTCCGGTAAAGAAATGAAGTGGTCTAGTGTACTGTCCAGTAAAATGTGATAATTACTATAATTTCAGGGCCTGCGTTATATTCTTGTCATGAATTGGGTACAATGACTATAATTGTGCGTCCCTAGGGATTCTATATATTATTGTTCTGCCTCCATTCAATACATTTGTGCATTCTGGACACACCCTTCTGTGTCATGTAAAACACTGCAAGTGCAAGGGGTCCTTGTCATAACCCTTATGTTAAAAGTTAAAGCTTAAGGGGTTAACTAGATTCAAATACCATACAGGACCTCAAGGACCTTTGGACCACCCTCAATTTCTAACACTGGATACAAAACTTCCCAATCAATTACACCCCTTGTTGTGATGATGATGATGATGATGATGATGATCAAATTTGACTGAACAGAATTTAACTAGAATTGGGCTTCAGACAAGTGCCTAAGTTCCAGACTGCTTAACTATAACTTTAAATACAATCAAAATAAAGGTGTAAACAAAGTACAATGAATTAGTAGCACTCTCATTACAGTAATAAGATATTCAGCATCCTGGTAATCTTGATATATGCCCTAACAAAAAAAGACCAGGAAAAAAATAGACAATGACAGAGATAGAATTACCCAAAATGCATCTGTATGTGATCTACAACCAGTAATTGATACTGTGAGGGAAAGATGAGTATCTGAACCACCCAATCACACACATGCACAGATGCCTAATTTACCTGTCAACAAAAGGGTTCATCACTCAAATGAAACCAATCTAATTGCATATCTTGGTTTTGTATTTAACAGTTTTAATGGACCTACTGGGGTGTTAAAACTGATATAACTGACATGAACAGAAGTGAAGGACTGTGTCAACTCTTCAACACAACAGAAAGACGAACATTTCCCCATCATTAAAACAAATTGTACACAAACACATTTTATCGATGCACCGGCACGTAAAAATACATCCTCCATGACAACCCTGACTTACTCATCAGCAATTTGATCCATCCTTCAATAAATTTAAACACAACTTCAGTTTTTTCAATGACTCAGTATTAAAAAATTCTTCCAGCGAGAACTTCCTAATTATCTTAGGTTTTTTTACAACCTGTAACCTTACTAATGGGGGAGACATCAGTAGAGGGTCTAATGAAAATCAGTGAAATTACCATTGATCAAGAATCTACCGTATTCCACTTGTTTTAAATGTTTCACCTTTATCCCCAAACAAGAAGAACATACTCCACAACCAACACAGGCCTGAAAGACAAAGGCTGTGCTTGTTTTATCTCCTTGCCTTTCTAAACCTACATTCTTGTTATAAGAAGTCCACCTGTCCAGGCTATTTTCAGCCTTATTTCCTGGCTCTTTAAAAGGCTAATTAGCATGCTTCTACCAGTTGTTCACATGTGGGACAAAAAACATTTGCTGACTTCCTGAGGATCCCAGCCTCTTCCTTGCTAGACATTATTAACAATACCCTTGAAAAGAAACGTACATATCAATTTTTTACAAACCTAATGAAAATTTAATTGGAGACAGCCATCCACAATCTTCTGAAGGGTGTCATAATACAATAGACTTTGTGAGTGATAAGATAGGCCTAAACATTAAACACAATCGATATAACCCTTCTACTCTCATTAAAGAACATAATACTTTAATGCTGAACATCATATCACTGGTTGGATGTTTTGTGGCTATTGGGAATGTCAGCAATATCTGTTACGAATATCAAAACATGATTGTCTAACAAGGATCAATTGTACAAATCATGCTTAAAAAAAAATATCCTGCATTTCCTTGTCCGGTTGAACACTAGTTAGCATGGTAAGCAATACTGTTCAGAAATGCTAAATAATTTATCAATCATTATGATGCACAGGACTCAAGTTTGAAGAATGATTGATCATAGCTAATAGTTTGTTGTCATCACCAAAACATAAGATGTAATATATGGAAAAATCGTAACAAAAATAAATTTTAGAATCTTTCCAACTAAGCTATCATGATTCGAGATGGTGAGGTGAGGTGAAATGTGGTTTAATGTTGTGTTCACGGTTATTGCACTTGTATCGTGACATGCATGCATGCTTGTGTGTGGCTGCTTCTACTAGTCCTGACTAATGCCGATTTAATAGTGCTAGCCCACAGAAATACTATGCCACAGCTTAACATGAATACCCTACTCAGACAGAGTATACCAACTCCGAGCCAACCAGTCCTAGTTTCTTATGCCGAGCGCCAGACAGGGCAACAAGTACCATCTTTTAAAATCTTTTGGTATGACTGGGGATCGAACCCCGACCTTCTGCTCTCCGGCCTTATGCTCTACCACTATACCAAGGAGGCGGTCTGTTTCATTATGATAAATTTAGAATACGAATGAATTCATCCATATCCAGTTTCCAAATGGCTATTAACAACCTGTCATTACTTGAAAAACATCAAATAAAGAATATTTAACAGTCTACTAATAGAAGAGCTATAATCTATCTGCCTGCGACCAAAACCATTTTTGAAATTGATTTGAAACTGATTCAACAAGCTCTTAAGTTTCAAGTGATTTCAGAGATTAACAAGACGTATCTAATCTCTAAATCTTGACTAAATGCTATTGAGCAGTCATTTAATGACCATATATTGTTGCTAAGTTCTAGTTGCAATTCGAGTATACTATTATTCACACCTGTTTTCCATGTAGGTTTCAAAACTTCAGCAATTATACAGGGACAGAAAACGGTGAAAACTAGTTAATGCAGACGCCTAATCGCATAACTTATAGAGATCAGCACATGTCTAGTGAGTGAGTATGGTTTTACGCCGCTTTTAGCAATATTCCAGCAATATCACGGCGGGGGACACCAGAAATGGGCTTCACACATTGTACCCATGTCGGGAATCGAACCCGGGTTTTGGCGAGACGTGCGAACGCTTTAACCACTAGGCTACCCGACCGCCCCCAGCACATGTCTTGATTAACAAATCACAGATAGGAAGTAATGTCTCCAAGATTTATCTAGGAATGTAATCCAAGTTTGTGTGTGGCAAGCTAATTGGGAAAAATACCTTCTTTCCAAAACTGAGAATAGCGATAGGGGTCTTTTTTTTCTTACATTCAAGGTTTAATCAACACACTAATCGATGTCTAGCTGTAACATATTCAGTGCAAGTAATGGAAATGTTTACCAACATTTGCTGACAACTTGTCAAATCCATATGTAGTTATTATTTCATCAGGGGTTGGTTTAACTGTTGGCCCATAGGCCTGTGGCCAGATAAAATTACAAAAGGCTTGCTGAAAAGTATAGTAGATGGCCTGTCTGGCTAGTCAAAATTTCACCCCTTCTCTGTGTACATCTCATTTTTTCAACTGCTCGTGAACCATGCCATATCTAATATATGTCATATGGAAATATTTAAGGGAGGGATCAGGTGGTGTGAATGGTTAACTCAAAGAAAGATACATGTCAATCATCTAGGTAGAATGACACAAATGGCGGCCCTTCTGCAATGTTGTGTACAACAACATCTTTATTTGTTCAAAAATCGCCACGAAATGAGGCAATGGAAGCCAAGATTTAATCTCAGAGTGCAGGAAAAGACTTTTTAGGGATGAGGAGTTCTAAAATTTTCATAGTCCCCCTGGTAACTCAGTCGCTATGTGACCTCGGATCCGGCCACTTCGGAGCCTCCATCACTTAGTTGTGGGCATGTTAGTTTGGAAAATGGCCAGTAACGCTTGGAAGGAGCAAGCCAGGCTGGCTATATACAAATTTGTTGTTAAATCTACCCATCATTACATATGCAGTATTCAATGAGCAGTCCCTGAAGTTTGCTGCTATATTATTTGAATCTAGAGACACTCTAAATGATAACCTATTGAATTCATAATTAACGTCATGAAAAAAGGAGACCCCAACTTTAAGGGGTATAATGCAATACAGCCATCAGCACACATATCGCAACACAACCCTTGCATATTGATATTTTCCAATAAAGTCACAGAAAAATTCATATATAATTATATAAATTATATCTACTATCTTGAGCCGAGTTGAGGCATTTAGATGGACTGGGTTCCAATCAGAACTATGTAATCAGCATTGCTTCACGCTGCTTACACGACATTCCAAATGGATGATATGATCAGTAGTGTTGTTTATCCATACTACCAAATACCCACCTTGCACTCAGAGTCTGGATTTTTCAATGAAGAAGCACCATAAGAACACTAAAAGTATTTATCTTTTGTGTCCCTATACGTATTGCAATATGTATCACAATACAGCTCTCCACATTGCGATACATTCATTGCTATATGATTTATGTGCCAATATGCCAACCCTACCGACTTTCAACCTTAATTTCAAACATACATTACTAGACAATCACTAAGTAATCACCACATACATGCAGAAAACAGGATTTCCTGGTGAACAGGATTTCTTCAGATAACAATCATAACATGTACCAATGTGAGAGTGATAACAGTTTTTACCATGAAATGTCTTCACACATCAAACCATGGTCCACTGTGTGCCTAGCAAATACTTTTAACCTCATTTGGTTAGCCATCTTTTAGCCAAGTATAATTTACCAGTACTCAAAACATAAGGATTAAATAATCCAATGTTTTTTTCTGTACAGTCAATAAACAACCACTACTAACTTTGAGGACTGGCAACTCTAAATATTACCAGTCCCCACCCACCCAATTTTTGTCAGTCCCAACTTTGAACAAATAAGAAAGGCATGTAAACTACCTGGTTTTAATTCTTTCAACATCATGTTCAATGCAGTGTATGCTGATGGCTGACATATTCAATGATGTCATCCCTGAAGTAATTCAGTTCAATCTACATGTCATTCACACAAAGTTCAGTCACAATTTTCTCCTTCCTTTTCCAGAATATTTAACTTTGGTTTGAAGTTCAGTCACAATTTTCTCCTTCCTTTTCCAGAATATTTAACTTTGGTTTGATACCAAATCACTACAAATAGATATTTAACCTCAAAGAAATGCGAAAAGTTATTTCCTTGCACTTAAAAAAACGTGACTTTATTTGCCTGTCCACAGGGGGACTGACAGTGCCATGAATTACCGGTCCAAGCCTAATTAAACCGGTGAATAACTGGTAATTACCGGTAAACAGGAAAACTGAACTATAACAACCATCCATCCTATCGTCTACTGCTGCTGTGTTCATCTGTGGTGGTCAAATGAGCATGTGGAACGCAACACTTGCAGTTGTAGTTCGATGTCATACCATGTCATATGTCTATTTCAAAACTAGCAATATAGTATTGTTGGCAATATTGTCTATCTACACATGGCTAACACTGTGTTGCACTTGCAGATAAAAGGACCTCATAATCATGTTTGTAAAATATATCTTTTGACTTGAAAATGCATGACTGTAGGTATCTTACATTGATGAAACCCTGTTAGTCTGAACTGTGACTTTGGTGGGATTAGCAGGGATTTATCTAAGATTCCAAACTACAAGCCCTTGGCAGGCAAATTGGAAAAAAATGTCTTTTTGTTCAAAACTAGAATTTTTTAAAGCTCTTATTTTCTTAAATTCGGAGGTATTTTAGCACTGAATTCAATGCAATCATGGATTAGAAGGGATGTATCTTGGATTCCAAACTAAATGCCCTTGGCAGGCAAATTGGACAAAAATGTTTTTTCTTCAAAACTAGGATTTTTCTTAATTCCTTAAATTCAGAGGTATTTTAACACTGAATTCAATGCAATCAGGTAAAACTTAGCTTCTTCCTCTTTACTGGTCCAGTTATAGGAATGAAATACAAGTTACCTCTACAGTCATACCATTAGTTGTAACTATAACAACACGAATCGGGAAATCATAGATTCCAATTTCGGAATTTGTACCTGCATATGCTGCAGACTTGGGACCAACAATCAGCTATAAAACCCCTGATTATTCTTGGGACTGTTAATATATGATCCTACTTATAGTGACAAAACTATGTACCTATCACTGTTCAAAAAGAAGCTTGAAAGTCACGGGCACTTGCCATTACCAATATAAATGTATTAAGAATGTAGGGGGGTCCCTACATTCAGATGCTACAGCAGGAAATCTGCTATAGCACCTCTTTAGTTTCAAACACTGCATATGATTAGTAATTCCAGAAAATTGTAAATTTGGATGATTTCAATAGGAACAAAAAAAGAAAACACAATTTCACTTTACCACCTTAGTGCATGTGGGTTTTCACGCCTCAAGATATCAGCAGTCAACATTGTCTCAAGAGCAGTCTAACATGATATTCACAAGAAGTTCCACTTTGACTCAAAAGTTTTTCAAAACTGATTGGTGCCGGATTTAAGCAACCTCGAGTTCGTTTGGTAAATATATTGTTATATATAAACTATAATACATCTATTTCAATATCGTGTATGTATCTATACATCCCTAGTAATAATCTTTGAGTATAGTACCTTTGACATTCGTACCTGATTGAAGGTATGCCAAAGGTCACCTTTCCTAATAAACATTACATTATTTATAAATATCAAATTTTCCAAATATTGATTTAGCCAATACCACCAGTTTTCATGCTTCTAGTATTACAGATATCTATATGATCTATCTATATGATCATTATGATTGAGCTGGGAAACTTGCATGAGTTTTACATGACAGCATGGTGTCAGTGTTTGAAACAACAAATTGCCAGGCTGCCACTAGGACCCACAGACTTTAGAAGCTGCAGGCCCTAACTCGACTCTTCAGGCCCTCATTAAAAAACTCAGCTCATTGTGACAAAAAAAAGATTGATACATGAATTTACTGCAGGCCACGGATATGGATCTTACCTTGACATAGAAAACTAGGGGTCCAGGGGATCCCCAATAATTAATTATAAGGGTCTTTACAGGAAATATATGGGTCCTGCAAAGTAATGAAATGGTGTAGCATACTGTACTCTAAAATATTTTATGATTACTATATTTACAGGACCATGATATTTCTTGCCAAAATTTGGGTGCAATGAATATTATTGTGCATCCGTAGGGATGCAATATATTTGTTTATTTGTGTCCATTCCATATATATGTGTATACTGAAGGCATATTTCTGCACCATGCAAAACCCTGAAGGACCCATACAAATTTTAAACTTCAGGCCTGACACAAGATCTACCTGCTATGGGAATATGGGCAGGTGCCTATTTCAAACACTGCATGGTGTGCTGGGGACCTAGTCAGACCTAGAATACACACACTGGTATAATCATAAACGGAGACACATTGAATCATTGAACTTGAAATCATCTTTTGTGTAGGGGCACAATAGTTATGTTAAGAATTTCTCAAGTTTTATGACACCAATACAGGTGAAAGCAAGGGGTCTGTTGTAACGATAGGACATGTCTCACAATACAAGTCGTGATACGATATGTTGTGATATAAATAGTACTGTTGTTAGAGTATGTTAAGTACTTGAGGTTTACACAATATATTATGCTTGGGGTATTCTTAGCACGGATTACAGTTTCATTCCTTAAATTAAATAAAAACAAGCATTTTGGCTTGGTGGTTCAAAATTCATATGACTGGAGTGTTTCATCTGTGATTGTACTCATGACACTGATTCCCAGTTAGATTTACATGGAAAATATGCAGAGAGAATCTGACACCTGACAACTATCCCTGAAAGGCAACAGGGTCAAAGTTTCTAAAAGGCATTTCCATAGCAGACAAATCCAATGCTTTCACACATATGTCCCTTATTGTCTGTCATGTCTCTGTCAAAGCACTTCCGCTGCATCTCATGAATGAGCTAATGCATGATCTCAAGTAGCACTTCCTGATTTTGCTTTTCAGTTTCCGACACACTTACCCTTGCCACATTAAAACTCTACATATCCAGCTTCATATATCGAGGCAGTAACATTAAAAGGTCACGCTAAGATTGTGCCCATAGCTGGGTCAGCATCGTGTTTGACAGGTCAGGTAGCAAGAAGCTCGACAGCATTCACTCAGCTTATTGTATCTGACATATCTGATGACAATCGCTTATTGTTTTTCAACATTGCTGATTGTACAAGGCACATAAACCAAGTGAATTATTACTGCTGTCTTGAAAAACATAATCATTGTTATCTATTTGTATCATTCAGATTTGTGTATATAGCTGGAGCAACTATTTTTTTCATATCCCTTTTTTCCAATTCATGCTCATTCAAATTACAAACAATAATTTTTACAATACATTTCTTCATGCACAAATATGTAGACGTACCAAGTTATATTTTTAACGACAGAAGGTACAACATTCCACTTTTATCTGGGGGATCTGAGGAATAAATTATCATAAATGCCTTATTTGAAGAGTCACGTGAAACTTACCAAACTCAACAAAATCTGATATATTTTTCTCTTTACGCAGAGTAGAATTTGTGCACTCATCGTAGAGGGTGACAAGCACGTCGAGAAGGGTCTCGACGCTGACAGTGTAGCCATCACTAGCTGAAGCGCCTTGCAGGTACAGCTGTTCCAATGCTTTCAACCTCTCTTCCGCAGACATCGCTGGTCTTCGCACGAGATCGTGTAGACCTGCGTAATCCCCGGGCACGATGTCTACACCTGTCTAGGGAGGCACTTCATCTCCCAAAGTCGTCACTGACAGTTCCAAATAATGCAATACTTTACTGCAATAATCCAACTTTCCTTACTTTAGATCAACGAAGGCATCATTCCTATCGAGAGACTTGACACCTTGAAAAGATAGACCACTTCCTCTACAAAATACCATTGCTTTCTTCGTTCATAAGCGTCTCAGCGGTGATCAAACCTGTTCATTTGAATTATCCGTTATTCTCCTTAATGCTTCCGCACATCGTGTGTCCCTCCTGGTTACAATTTTCGGCCAGGAAGCCTTTAATATTGTCTCTTGTCAGTGACTAAAATCTAAGAAACCATGCAAACATGGCTGACAAGGTGCCCCACTGAATCATGGGTACTGCTACGCAGAAGTTAGTATGACGTCATTTCTACATTATGTTAATATAAAGAGAGTGGTCTTCAGAGCGTACACTATTTTTCAATGGGATAACAAAATTTAGGTCAACACACAATGTTTTGATGTGGATGTTTTAGATAATTACAGTAGAGAATGCTTTTCAGGACAGATTATGGGATGTGCAGTGAAAGAAAACCCCAGTGATAACTCAACCTAGTTTCAAGCCACTGCCTGACTAATCCCGTCGCTGAGTTGAGTCACGCTAGTCGAGACGCATGTAGTAGATTCGGAAACTACCGAGCCCTTGTCGGTGTCGCTGTGCTTCGAATGTACTTAGATTTATACTCAAACATTTTTATTTTAGAGAGGAAGAATAAACTTAAATTCAGGAAGTGGAGTTTAGTGTCCAGTTTCCCTGGGGCTAGAGAATTCGCGGACTATTGATTTTTTTGTTGTGTGTGTGTGCGCTGTCAAAGTGACAACCTGGAAACTGCCCAAGTCATTCATCTCTTGAAAGTGAATGAAATTCGGAATACTCTGGAGGTTTTTAAACGCCGGGTCAGTTGAATTACCCCCCTGTCGCTTGTAGAAGTTTAATTTACTATATCCCCGTGGTATATCTATATACACTATAGTGAGCATTCTTCACAATGTTAATAACAAGTAGGCTTTAAGAAAATAATCTAACAAAACATATTCCATCTCATTAAATTTAAAAATTAAATGCGCATTTACCAGCATTGACACTTTTATATTTACACGCGCACGTGTCGATTCCGGAGCTGAAAAGGCCATATAACGTAACATTATATCTATGCATCCCTGCAGCTGTGTGTCATCGTGACACGGCTCGATGTAGTGGATCATTGCTCATGTTATCAACCACTTGTTTGCCTATAGTAGAGTCACACTGATACAGTCTCATATTGTTTATCGCCATACACATATCAAGGCCGTAGTTATTTTTTTTTGACAGGGGGTCAAATATTTGTACAAGTATCACTTGTCCCCAACTTGTATTTTCATGATTCAAATAAAACAGTTTTCTATATACAAATCCAGGGGGGCAACTATTTATCGAGGATAAAAGCGATGCTGGAAAAGCGAGCTAATCCTCATAGAGATAGGCTTCGCTTTGACCACATGCTTGACTCTTGAGTGGAGTCTTGCGCGATATACTCAGGGGGAATATTTTAATAATTTGCCTATTTGTAAATTAATTATGTGTAAGACATACATGTATTTTTTTTTGTGTTATTGGGTTGAAGGGGGAGGGGGCGGCTGGGTTCACTTTTTTCATTTGTAACCTCGGGCGGGGGAAGGTGGGGGATATTTCTTTTTTAAATTGTTACACCTTCTGTGTGAGTGGGGTGTTCACTTGCTAATATGCTCGTGTATTTCCATCATATATATTGTGGGGTGGGGCTGGAGTTGTGTGTGTCATTTGAATCTACATTTCTGTTATTTCAACTAGGAGGGATGAGTGTTGCTGGTAGGGTTGGGAACAGAAATACAAAGGTATGCATGAAATAATCAGTGTCATGAAAAGTATAAGGGTTTTGTGGTTATAAAAGGAGGGTCCTTTGCTGGCCGACAAACATGGGGTATGGCATGGTATACTAGGGGTCTAATTAGACCCGGACCCCAGAACTGCATGATGAAACACCTATAGCAATTCTTTATGTCATTTGTAAATCGACTAACACGGATGTTATAGCGTCACGGATGATGAAGCCTGGCTCGTGAAATTACAAAAATAAGCAATTTATAATAAAAACATGCATGTACTGTTTCTGTTATATAATATCAAGCGCGTTAACCTACACATGTTTGTCGTTCTGCAATGTATATACATGCACATGGACGATGTAGGTATCCCTATATCCAATAGATGACGGCACTGAGTGTCATGAAAGTTACTCATGGGGATTTCCGGTTAGAATTGGTACCTATCAACCAATAAGAATGGCCGTCAGAGGCAATTGAATGGATCGGGTGGTAAAGATCGGTGACTTGGTTGATTGTGTGGCATCACACCCCGACGTCGTTGGACGTTGCTGACAACACCCGGATTGTGTGGTCAAGACTCAAATATACAGGAATATCGAGAAAGTGTCATTAAACAACAAGCAAACAAACAACAAATACTCCACTCTTCATTTATTCGCGCTTATGCATGTGCCAGACTTAATTAACCATTTTGTTTTCATAATATTGTTTTTGCAAAAAAGAGGGTGTGTGCATTTTCATATCGAGCGTATACTGTATATTTATTTCTGCATCTAGCACCCTTTAGGTTTATATAAAGACGTTACATTTTTGTCATTGTATTAAGTCGTAGTTCGTATTGGCCAGTGAAAGCTTTTACAACCACCCTATACAATCCTGACCAACCCATACATTATAAGGATATACACACTAAAAACCAGAGCACTACGAACAAGTCGTATCAAGCTCTTTATACTACAAACAACGATACAAAACGAACAGCGTCTTCTACGACATGAACGTCTCGACCCCACTCCCACCCTCACTCCCTCGCCCTGGCTGAACCTCACCCTGCCCGGACCTCATTCTGCCCAAACCTCACTACCTTACCACGCCCGAGCCAAAAAGAGCAGGTGGTGTATGTATAAGTAAATAGTTCTCTGGCCATAACCTTGTAATTTATAATTGTAAATAATAGTCACTTGTTATATCTCATATTTTAACGACGATATTGTTGCAACAACGCGTTCTTAGTCTACATTTGTTTCACTGGGGTTGCTCCCTAGATGAAAAGAAACATCTCTCTTGCCTCGGGAAGATGGAAATGAAAATGCTTAATTTTTATTGCTCGACATAAACAAAACAAGCACATGACTATATTTCTGAAGAAAATTAAACGTTGGGTTGTACACTTGTTTCTATATAATATCGCACTTGGTGACGAAACCATAGACACTGTCACAGTAATCAGTATAGTGAAAATTGGAGTGTGAACACGGAATTGAAAATGTAAGAATCGTTTGTTTGCGTGTGTTATTAATATTCTTTTGACATTTACTCTGCATCACCAATTTATATACAGTATAACAGTGTTTCACTTTCTGACAATACGTATCATTCGAAGTATAATCTGTAGACAACAATTTTGTTGGATCAGAACATCGTGACCATGCAGCGAGTCGAGATATGACTTATGCTCCATAACAACGGTGAAGGCGAAAATAGTACAGTTGTGTCAGAGTTATCTCCCTGGTGATGCAGTGTCGATAGGCGGCGCGCGAAAGAATTTAACTCAAGCTCCACCTCAACGCGCTCCAACTGTATCTGCGATATCAAATAGGGAGCGCGAGAGCGTGATATCGCTGTGACGAGTTTAAGCATTTGTTCCATTGGCCGTTATAAATAGTATCATGTATTTTCCACATAAACACGGTCACAGCTGAAGCGTCGGTGTCATATGTCAATTTCATCATCAAAATATTATACGTAACACAATTCTCTCTGCTGTTATGGTATGTATTGATGTATTTTTAATAGCCTTTATGTACAAATCGTGATCTTGAAATGTTTGAGGTGAATGTCTCAATATGCACTAGGTTAGATCGATCGAGTCTTTAGTCATAAAGTCGGTATATGGTCTCTGTAAAGACCAATGAAGGTAACATTTGTCAAATTTTGCATCCATTTAACAAATGCTCGATTCAAGACAACACACACCGTTCATTCATTCTACCCTTCGCACGAATAATTATAATACAAACAGAGTTGTTAATTTTGCATAATACGCGAACTCTGTGAAAGTCAACAAGCGCACACAAAATGGGCGTGTCTCAACATGCCCGATCAAGAAGGCTTTCAAGCAGATGTACCGCATTCAACTGAAGTCCAAATTAATCTAATTAGTTTTGTTTGTTTCCCAAATTATGTTTTAGTTAATCAGTCATGCTGTTTCACATTTATATGTACAGATGTGTACAACAGTTTGTTTGCCGTAAAAGGCGACTATGCTTGTCGTAAGGGGCGACTAACGGGATCAGGTGGTCAGGATCGCTGACTTGGTTGATGCATGTCATCGTATCCCAGTTGCGTGGATTGATGCTAATGATGTCAATCACTGGATTGTCTGGTCCACACTTGATTATTTACAGACCGCCGTCATATATAGCTGGAATATTGCTGAGTGCATCTTTAAACAACAAACAACAACTAAAATTGTGAATTGTATTCACATTGTCTTTAATTTAACCCTTTTTGTAGAATCCAGTGTGGAATGCTTGGTCAATCTTCTCATAATGAAATTCACATTAGGGCCTAGTGGAGACAATCTCCAGTCCGTAACACATTCGCAGAAAAGGTCTAAACGTTGCAATTACTGGAACTTCATAACTATGTCATTGTCATGAATTCATATATTGCTCCATGTTATTCTAGTATTACAGACAATTTGTGGCAAAGTGCTGCTCCATCTGTTCAACATACTTGTAAATATTTTCTTCCATAGGAAATTGATGCAGAAACAATAGATGAAGGACCAATCAACTGGCTGCCTGGAGATCTCATATTGGAGATATTCTCGTATCTGGATGCAGCATCCCTGAGTGCTGCAGGTTTGGCATGCAAAACATGGGCGTCCCTCATTGGTCAGTCAGAAACACTATGGAAAACTAAGACTCAGCAGATCCTTGACAGAGATGCTCAACGATATATCATCCAATCAAAATCAGAAGGGAACTCGTGGAAGGTTGGTTTTAAACAGATGCATGTATGTTTATTTTATTTAGTACTTTAACTTAAACTTGAGCTGAGAATGTCTGCTTGTTTAGGTTTGTGTTTGTGACACTCTTAACTGTCCTATGTCAGGGATCCTGTCATGACTTCTTTAGTCAGTCTATCTGAAGTGATGCAACTGAGAGTCAAAAACTGTTTTTCAAATCATCAAAGATACAGATACAAGATTTTTCGATAAACTGAAAAAGAAATTTGGTCATGCCTACTTCTGGACAACTGAAAATAGAGTGAACAAGGCTTGCGTTGCATTATTGCACTGAACAATGTAACTGATTCCATATTGCTGTGTTCATCTTTTGTGTTCATGCTGAAATAAGCAGGCTGTGAAGGTAGTAGTTTACTCATTGGAAATGACAAATAATTTTTGCGTTTATAGAGGCATATACATCAAATTCAGCAGAAAAAGGGGATAGTTTTTGTTCTTATTTACGGACACAAAAATGACACTTAATACCTCATATGATTTACAGAATAATCTTTGTCAGTAAATGAAGTATATTCTTATCCAGAAAATCACAAATTCAACAGCATTGTAAATGTTGTATTGACTTACAATACTGTTAAAGCAGATTGGGAAATTTCAACCTTGGGTTAATCAATCTAGTGCAAGTTTCAAGAGGTGAGTTGTTATGTTCAATGTTACATTCAAGGCCTGACTTCATGTTCTTATTTAAGTTTAGGACTTAAATATAGCAACGTGCATGCATGTTTGTGCTGCTGCTTGTACTCGTCCAGACATATGCCCATTTTATTGGGCTAGCCCACTGAGATGCAATGCCACAGTTTAAAATGAATACACTACTCATATACATTTCCAAGGGCCAGGTAGGGTATGAGTGAGTGAGTGAGTATGGTTTTATGCCGCTTTTAGCAATATTCCAGCAATATCACAGCGGAGGACACCAGAAATGTTTCAGACATTGTACCCATGTCGGGAATCGAACCTGGGTCTTCGGCGTGAAGAGCGAACGCTTTAACCACTAGGCTACCCGACCACCCCCCAGGCAGGGTATGAACAAGTACCATCTTTTATCATCTTTGGTATGACGCAACTGTGAATTGAACCATGAACCTTCCGCTCTCCTGGCAGAGTCTCACTCACTAGATCACGGAGATGGTCCACAAGGTTTAAGCAAAGGTAGACTGAGGTACCCGTAGACATGAGCAGCTTTCATTTTGACATGTACAGATAGCATTCAACTCTAAAACATTTGAACAACTCAATTACATACTACTTCCAACTGACTGTTCCAGGAATCCTTCCAGATGAATTATGGGAGCAACCTTATCAGAAGTAAATGGAAGCGGGGTATGTTCAGTCAACCCAAAGCCATGTTGGATCTCCCCCCAAAGGTCCTGTGTCCCATGACCGCCGACACCTGGGGGGAAATATTCCAAATGGAGCTGGAAAGATGAGGAAACCACAACAAACATGTCGGACGTCTGGAAGGACAATGCTGACACCAACCAGGAAGAATGTCAGCTTGGTCGTGGCACTTTCTCCTCATGACGACATATCAACAAAGAGAAAAAATCAAGGAGTTTGTATCCAGACATTATGTGTCAAATGCACTTTTCACTCTGATGACAACTCGGTGAAAGATGATTTAGTTTGGATGCTCATCAAGGACGAGGATGGATGGAACAAAGATGATGTATCTTGGTAGCTGGCTACTGACATGGCCGACTTGACCATGTGAGCTTTACTCTGTATTTATTTATGTTTACAAACACAAACAGATGAGGTAGCAGTCAGGGATTTACATCTGCATGCTGAATGTCTTACCATTTTAACTGAGAATATTTCAAGTTGAGTAGGTATGTTAAGATGTTTACCTTGTTCTGTATTTGTAAGAGTAATTTTTGACCTACTCAAATTGCTCAAGGTCCTTATTTTGTGCTCGTCTGATCATCATTTTAACTATAAAATGACTTTCCAGTTTTATCATAACCAGACCCACAATGTGCATTTTTCGTTTAGCCCTGGGGGTTTTGTGATCTTGGATGATGAGATGTGGAGAACATGTATTGTTACAGTATGATCTTTAAGTATATGCAAGTTTTTATCTACCCAAGTGGTACCAATGGATGATGTGAATATGCTATGATATACATAAAAGTAATACACATAAGATTGTTACTATCTATTTTATCAAGTTCTTTGTACATACCGATGTATTTATTTATTTTCATTTAACTTATTTATGGATTGAAAAATTTGTTGTAGATCAACATATTTTTGTTGTTTGGTTCTCATATTAATTTTAGTCATAAAAAATAGAATTGTTATCATTGAAGGCTATGGTCATCAAGGAACAAGGTTCCATGTGTCCAAGAGATATTACCATTATCCAATATGAGATACCGGGTACAGGATTTGTCCTTCCTTATAATATTACATGTTTATAACATCATGTGACCTGACCATAAGTGATGCATTCATGAATGGTGCAGAGAGACAGATCTTAGTCTGAACACCGTACTGCCATTGATGCACACTTAAAGCCTGGTCAGGTGATATTTCACTGGAGTATCAGTACTGGTTACCGACCAGTTATTGCCATTTATCGGGTATTCATGTATTTGTTATTTCTGACATATTCCATGTACAAAGTTGGATGCACCATTGAGCAAATGGGCTTATTTCTGTCCGTGGAAAAAGATTCAGTTTTCAGTATCTAGCGTATAACACTCAATGTTTGTATTCATCAATTTGAATAAGAAATGCTGCTGTCGTCTGCAACTGACAAAAAACAATATTCCCTGAATTCGATCTTCACATGCTTGTCCCTAACACTATGTACTATGGATTTCGCGATATATACAGGTTATGCATTTTTGGAAAAATAGCTCAAATAGGTTTCAGAATTGGATTTTGGGGAAGAAATGACAGACAGATAGAAAGCAATGACAGAACTGAAACTGCATCATCGTGTTGTTTGATTTATATTTTTGTGTGAATTAATCACATGACACCGCCCGCATGTCTTTTCTAAAACTGAATATGAGGTGATTATAGTGGGTTTCTTTTTTAAATTTCCTCACAAGAGAACGTTTTGTTCGTAAATTTTCTCTCTTCTAATGAAAAGAAGCAAAAGTAACATGAGATGTGATCATGTGCACGCTATAATGGGGAGTTAGCGATAACTGGTTGCTAGCCAGTATAGTATTTTTAGTTTATATTTTCAGACAAAATAGTATTTCTTTCACAACAAATGACCTCTATTAATGAACTCTATTGTTTGAGATGGTCTTAAAGAAAATTTGTTGATCATAAGGTTTTACACATTCTGTTACATGAATAAATATGAAATGTGAAGAGTTTGTGACTGTTTATTGATTTTTCATCATGTTATTCACATGTGTATCATATCACACACAATACAACTGCTGGTCTTTGTGACAGTGTGATGCCATGTCCATCTCCACTGTGAATGACGAGAGACCACAGCTTGTCTGCAGTATCCTGGGTTAGACAACCAGTGGTGGATAGTGTGAGCATGTTTCTCAGTCATGGAACAGCCTTTCTTCACGAGGCAAGAGCGTCCACTAGCCTTTTTATCTAAGTCTTTTAGAAATTAGGCTTTGATACAGGCTAGTGGATACCCTTGCCTCGGGAAGATGGGAACAACCCTTCTCACACCCGCTCAAACTTCAGAACAATCAATGGCAGATAGTTTAACATGTACTATTTTGTTCGTATACTTCACAATACGCATGATATGATGTGTATATCACAGACTGTTGTTTAACATCACACTCAGCAATGTCCAGCAGGCCGTAATGAATTGAGTTTGGACTAGAAAAAGCAGTGGTTGATATTATGAACTATGTCCACGCCGCCGGGGTACGATGGCACGCAATCAACCAAATCATTGAGCCTGACCACCTGAGCCATCAAGTCACCTCTTATGAGTGAGTGAGTGAGTATGGTTTAACGCCGCTTTTAGCATTATTCCAGCAATATCACGGCGGGGGACACCCGAAATGGGCTTCACACATTGTACCCATGTCGGGAATCGAACCCGAGTCTTCAGCGTGACGAGTGAACGCTTTAATCTCTAGGCTACAAGACCGCCCCCCGCCTCTTATGGCCAGCATTGGTTGCTTGGGACCAATCCTTATCTGGAATCCCTACAGAATATATTGCAAACACAACCTAAATGTTTTCATGCTTTGGGGAACCATTCCGACACTGATTTAAGATGATCCTTTACCATCATCTTTACAATGAATCCTTGTTTATCTGGATGATTAAAATCATTTGGATTAAAGAATCATGGATGGGAGAAATGTTCCTTTGACATACCAGTAGTACAAAATTCTCATCAATATTGCCAGGAAGATGGAGTTACTGGGCTAATGAAGTTCCGGGACAATGATGTTTGACTGTGTTTCAGTATTTCTGTCTCAACAAAACACTCGAGTTGGATGTCAACAGCTGTCAGCCCTGTATTCAATACATACAGATATCTCTTGAATTAATATCTATTTACACTAACTCCTCAGAATAAATACAGATGTCCACAGCGGATAGATGGTGCTAGGAGTTATCACATATCACACAGTCCTCTTCAATCTAAGGGCAGGTAACTGGTGCCAGGTAGCCACACAGGGATGTGAGTAGAAAGTCCTGGCGATATCAGTCTCAGGTACATCTGCCACATCAGGTTCTAGGCCTGAACCTAGACAACACATTGTGAAGCTCCATCCTGCTGTTGTCACTGTCTCAGGTACATCTGCTATTGTCACTCTAGGCCTGGACTCTGACCAAACACATCATGAAAGATCGGTCTTGCTTTTTTCGTTATCTTGGGTACATCTGCACCACACATTGCCTGAGGGTGCTCATATACCTCTCCCACACTGGCTGAAGATGAGGGGACCCCCTGTAACACCAACATCATACATTCAACATATTATACAACATTCAAACTTAGATACCAAGTACAAGCCTGACATAGTGATGATAGTGTTTGTTTGTTGTTTAACGCTGCACTCAGCAATATTCCAGCTTTATGATGGCGGTCTGTAAATAATTGAGTCTAGACCAGACAATCCAGTGATTTATATCATGAGCATCGATCAAAGCAATTGGGATACAAAGACATGCATCAACCAAGTCAGCGAGTCTCACCATCCAATCCTGTTAGTTGCCTCTTACGACAAGCATAGTCGCCTTTTAAGGCAAGCATGGGTTGCTGAAGACCTATTCTGATGATACTTTGTCATCCTTATCATCAACCAGGCTTCAACCAAGAGACTACCCATTGCCCTGCACCCGGAGAAATCTCCAACTGCAACCCACATGGTCACCTGTTACATATAGTTTGACATAGATCTTACCGTATAAATTCCATGGATGCAGCTGCCACCTTGTAGGCTGTGAGGGATGCCTCCACATCAGACCGAGACCAGTTGTTCTGAAGACATGGCTCTATCAACTAGAACAGAGAAATATGGTCCGAACGAGTGAGTGAGTGAGGTACAACACTGTTTAGAACATTATTTCGGCTATATAAGGGCGTGTCAGGTGAATGTGGGAGGAAAACCCGAAGTGGAAAAGGTATGACACTTTTGTCATAATAAGAAAACATACATTTTTTTGTATATGTCAAAAAGCAGACTATTCATAAATGCTACACATCACATCATACATACAGGCAGATGTCTATGACATCAGAATAAATAGTAAAATTTCACTTACATTAAATTTCAAACAAGGTTCGCTATCAAAGTAATTACCAAACATCAATGTCCATTGCGGAAGAGATAAATGCTTACCTTTTCATAGAAGTCAAGGAAAATATCTTTGGATTCTCGGCTGTGGTTGAGACCGTATGCAATATTCAGGATATTTTTGGAATAATTCTGAAATATAAATATCAGTTAGGAATACTTGTTAGATTGATATCATTTGTCCACAATTATTTAATTACTTGTTTTTCTGGTGTGGTCTCTGTGTATGCTGGGTGCAAGTGGCTACACCTTACACCTTGTCTTTATGTAGTTTTAGCTGAGAGAAAATACCATCACAAAAATGGCATCTCGCCTTCTTCTATGACTTCTGACATCTGTATTCTGACTAGCTCTTTCTTTTCTTTTCCTTCCCATTGGAATTTAATGAGTAATTGGAGTGACAAACAAACACAATAAAAAAAACTACAATAGGGTATCAGTATCTTCCAACATTTATAATTGGCAAGCCATAACACGCTCAAACGTAAGAGGTGAGCTGAAATGGGGTTAAACGTCGTGTCCAAGATTATTGCACTTATATAGCAATGTGCATGCACATGTGTGAGTGTGGCTGCTTGTACTAGTCCAGACAAATGCCATGATATAGTGCTTGCCCACTGAGATACCATGCCTCAGTTCAACATGGATACCCTACTCAGACACAGAATACTGACAAGATTTGTTTTAGCCCCTTAATGCCAAGCGCCAGGCAGTGTAACAACAAGTACCATCCTTAAAGGGGCACTGATCTAACGGACTGGTTGTTGCCTTTGTTATTGTTTTTCCCCCGTGAGTACCCGGATGATACGCAACGCAACTGAGCGTGACCAGAGACTGGGCTACCGTCTGCAAGGACAGCTAAATAAACTTGGAGGCTGGAGGCAATATTTGTTTTACGCATTTTTGAACACTGATTGGTTAACTGTGATCTATAAAGATTTCGACAAGGGGCGCATGTTAATTCATTTCTTCAGCCTAAACAAACAGACAAAAAGAACAAGGGAGCTCATCGGACGTCGTCATTTGGAAATACCCCAGATGGTTATAGTTTAATACTAAAAACAGTATCCATGCAGTGAAAGCATTTTCGGATTTCGGCTTGTGTCGATAATACGATTACTACTCCCTTGTTGTCATCCACGTTTTCTCGTATAACCCTACACTTGTGTATTTGTCGTCATTCACTTGATGCTCAGTTAATGAATTTATTACAGGTACAATTAGTGGTAGCACCACTTATATTACCTGACAAAGGTTCCCATTTGGCATTTATTGTGTCTGGGGTAATTATTCAATCTAAATCCAGGTTTGAAGTGAGGTGAAATGTGTGTTATGTAATATGCACGTGGCAGCCCAGCAAGAGATGAATGATCAGTTGATTTACTTTTTTTTGTAAATCAACGGATCGTTCCTAGTCATCAAAGGATTAACAGAAAATACGTTGATTGATTAATCACTGTTATCTTGCACAGTGGATATGTCAAGAGTGAGTGTTTACATGTCTAGGTTTACTAAAACAAAGGGAATACACTCATATCATGGCGCGAAGTGCCGATGTAAAAACAACATACTTTGTTCAAAGGGTTAACTGATAATACGTTGATTGATTGATCATTGTTATCTATCACTCAATGGAATTTTTAGGAACCGTGGACGCTATGAAAATAGTTGTCACGTGGGCTTTCTCAGCCGACCATTGAGACTTGACACCTATGTAAAACACCTGAAACAATCCAAGCGATCAGTTGAGAAACGAACACGGGTTATAATATCCCAAACGATATATATCTTTTAAAATATTTGATTGTTACTGAGACACGTGACATCGAATAAGTTTCTTTGTTCAGCTGCAGACAAGTGGGATATTGTTCCTTTGTGTGGATATTCACGGATACATTCCTCGAACAAGGAAGCTGCCTAAAACTTATACACATAAATTTGGTAGGTTGTAATTATGATATCTGCATTTTGTTTTCCTTCATTTGAACCGATTCGTTCTTGTTTCTCTACGTCTTGGTTGGGAAATTCTTCAATGTGCGATAGACGTTGTTGTCACAGGTCTTTTCCTTTGTAAGCGTGTATATATTACCGTCAATTTGTAAAATGTGATTCTCTCAGGCATTTCATAAAATGTGTAAATATTTCAGTCATTTTGACTAAAAAATCTGTCCAGATTGATCAAGACGATCAAAAGGGCCTACAAACATCACAACAGGTTATTATGTAGGATTAAAAGCCAAACAACTTAGAAATGTACTTTTCAACGTTACATTTTCAGTCTCTTGGTGATGACATTAAACATCAAAATGTTTGGAATTCGTTGTCATAATAATACAGATGGAAATGTTTTTCAGTCACTTTGTAAAATAACTGAATATTTAGACGTTTAATAAATTTGTTACACATTTGACAGTAAAAAAATATACACACTATAAAAAAAGCATATGCTCAGGTGAAATATATACTTTGTGTTGCAAGTCAAAATAGTGTAAACTAAAATCGCAAAATTACCAAGCAAGTGACTTATCAAAACTTCGTCACCATTACCGATGCTACTCACAAAGATACCTACATTTCCTTATTATCTCGAAAACTGTATTTCATTTTGTTGATCAATGTGACCATACGCCCTTATTACTACCCATAAAAGTGACTAATGCGCTTACGAATGGCGCAGCAGAGGTCGCGAACTAGTCTAGATTTCTGCTATACATCCGGGTATTCACTGGGAAAAAACAATAACAAAGGCAACAACCAGTCCCGGGGAATTGCGTTAGATCAGTGCCCCTTTAAACATCTTTTGGTATGACATGGCCAGGGTCTGAACCACCGATCTTCCAATTTCCGGATGAATGCTCTAACACTAGACCACCGAGGCGGTATAAAATGAGAGAAATCCTACTGACACTTACTTTGAAATTGGCCTCCATGTCGCTGTATGCTCTGTCAGAGACTTTACCTTTCATCGATCGGAGCAGCAACCTGAGGACAGATTGTAACTGTATAGACAGCATAAAATACTGTAGTGTTTCAGGCCAGTCAGTAATACATGTCCCAACCTTGCAGTGTTTGAAATTAGATATAAAGACCAAGGATCCTTCATCAGATGTTATAAGATGGTACAGATTTACAGGGTCCCCAGATTACACAGTAGTGCAGTAGACCTGCCGGATCACCAGCCCTGACACCACCCCGCCATGTGTTCCTCACAGCACCCCTTCAACCCCTACACCATCACCCCTTGTGTTCCTCACAGCACCCCTCAGCCCCTACACCCCCACCCCTTGTGTTCCTCACAGCACCCCTCAGCCCCTACACCCTCACCCCTTGTGTTATTCACAGCACCCCTCAGCCCTTACCCCTTGTGTTCCTCACAGCACCCCTCAGCCCCTACACCCTCACCCCTTGTGTTCCTCACGGCACCCACACCCCCACCCCTTGTGTTCCTCACAGCAACCCCTCAGCCCCTACACCCCCACCCCTTGTGTTCCTCACAGCACCCCCTCAGCCCCTACACCCTCACCCCTTGTGTTCCTCACAGCACCCCCTCAGCCCCCACCCCTTGTGTTCCTCACAGCACCCCCTCAGCCCCTATACCCTCACCCCTTGTGTTCCTCACAGCACCCCCTCAGCCCCTACACCCTCACCCCTTGTGTTCCTCACAGTACTCCCTCTCCATCAGCCCCTTCAGTTCCCTCAGCTGTAGGAGGAAGTCCCTGTCCAGGTCCACATCCATGTCCTCGTGTTCCGTACATTCTGCAACAGACAGCATGATGTACAGTGGTTAGTGGGAGCTTTATGACCACTTAGCAGTAAGTCCTTATTTATCACCCACCTGTAGAACTATAGAAGCAGTTAGCACACAGACTGAAGTCCATATATATCACCCACCTATAGAGCTATAGAACCAGTTAGCACACAGACTGAAGTCCATATATATCACCCACCTATAGAGTTATAGAACCAGTTAGCACACAGACTGAAGTCCATATATATCACCCACCTATAGAGCTGTAGGACCAGTTAGCACATAGACTGAAGTCCAAATATATCACCCACCTATAGAGCTATAGGACCAGTTGGCTATCATGTAGTTAGCACACAGGGTGAAGTCCTTAAACTCCAGATACATCAGCTTTTTCTTCCCCGTTTCGAATCTGTTGTTAGTGATGAACACTATTGCTGCATAGCTCCTGGAGAGAGATTCAGAACATTTCACTAACATTCAACCATGATACTGTATATCTATCAGACAGGTGTTAGAAGGTTGTCACATTGACCAAAGTAATAAGACAATCTGTAAATCAACTCCTCCCAAAAACAAGCACTTCCCAATCTCATAACCGCTATGCAAAGATCTGAGGACATCCCACTAAAGGTCACTTTGAAGGACCTCTTGCAAACAATTGAATCAGAATCAGTCACACAGCCTGTCACTGCTGTTCAGAATGCCCTGTGTTAACCATTTCAAGGTTAAACGATTAGGAAACAAATTTGGACATTCACTTTCGCGATCTTGTAGGCGACACTCTGGTTGGATGAATGGTCTTTCTGTGAGCGGATGTCCTCGGATTTTTGAGCTGCGGTAGTGAGCACTAAGATCTGATGTTGATGAGATTAAAGCAATTCCAGAAAAAATAATCCCTTGTTTAAAATTCATCAATTATCTATACAGTTATTACCATCCGTCTTTCATCCTATTTTCCCATCCAATAAGCCAGTTGGAGCTGAAAGCAGTGAAGACAATATTACCTTGCCAGTTCCCCAGACAGTAGGTAGTGGGTCTGGATGTTCTCCACAAGGGAGCCTTTCATCTCCTCCACTGTCTTGAACACACGCTTCACGTTGTCAAACTGAAACACAGATGCACAGATAGAATACATCTCTTCCAAGTGAGTGAGTGAGTGAGTGAGTGGTGAGTGGGTGAGTGAGTGAGTGAGTGAGTGAGTGAGTGAGTGAGTGAGTGAGTGAGTGAGTGAGTGAGTGGGTGGGTGGGTGGGTGGGTGGGTGAGTGAGTGAGTGAGTGAGTGAGTGAGTGAGTGAGTGAGTGAGTGAGTGAGTGAGTGAGTGAGTGGCTTTATTCAGCAGCTACTTTACAGCTGTACCATGAAGTGAGTTTGATTACCCAATCTGGACCAGATAAACTGGCTGACAGCATGAGCACCAAGTCATGACAATGTGGTCTGATGACGCATGATCCCCAAGGGGAATCAACACTAGTCTGTTCTCCACAGGGTTGCTGCACAGTGACTGCATGTAATGTAACCATTTTCCAACAACTCCCAACACAGCTACGATACTATATTTGCTGTAATGAGCACCTTGGATACTTTGAAAATTCACAAAGGGAGTGAGTACCAAATTATACACAGCAAATTAAAATACGTTGGCAGAGATCGAACTGTAGGGAATTGTATTTAGCTCTAATGTTGATCAAACTAAAACAAATTTGATAATAGTTACTAGACAGTTATGTACCCCGTTTACACTGCTGTTTTCTGTAAACGATCTGTAATGTGCACAATCAAATATGGACTGTATTGCAAATTTTCAGGCATGTTTAAAAGTTACTTACAGAAAAGTCTAGATATTGGTCAGGGGGTGCTTATTGCAGCAGAGAACTTAATGCGGCAAATACAGTAACTCCCAAATGGGTAACAAAACAGTGAACACTATACATTGCCATCCTATCTTGAGGGGTATATGGTGTGATGTACCCTGTGTGTGTGTCTATGTACACAGAGCCATCAGTTGACAGTGAATTTATCTTACTGACTTTCATTCATTCTTACAGGTCCGCAATTTGTGTCCACAGTTTCACTGAGTTAGCAAAATTCATAGCAGACAATGCAAACAAACCGAGTTACTTCCCTTTACCCAATTAATTCGGATAAACATCAGTTCATTTCAGCTCAACGATACTTAATCGATATATGCAAATTACCTACGATGTGTTCCGACTGATTTCTCAGCAGGGGACATGAGCGGGATACCTGAAAAGTAATTGCCCACTCCTTAACCAATCAGAAGCTGGTATTTAAATGTAAGGTGAGATAATGTGTTACTATACACTGAGCACTGTGTGATGTAACCTACCTGTCTCCGACAACTCCGCAGCATCACTCCCGTCTTCTCACTCACATCGTCAAGATCCTTGCGGTGTCTGGAGTTCAGTTTCTTTCCCAGTATCTCTCGAATCACAGGTGCGTCAATCTGGTAGTATCTGCCAATGGGTTTAGCATGTACAATGTTATTGCGGAAACAAACACATACAAAAAAACACAATTTACACATACAAGTGCATATCTTCCAGAAACTACTGCATTTCTCTCAACTTTCATGATTAGAAGTAATAAACGATCAATGATGTCATTTTTTATTGTTGTTTGGTGTTTTGTGTTGCAGTCAGCAATAGTTTCAAATTATAATTCACTCCCCCACCATCAAGTTATAAGAGTTAGGTTGCACAAACTTTCACTGTAGTTTACTCAGAAGTGCAAAGACCCCTTAATTTTAAAGGGGGCTTGGGTGGCCCAGTCGTCTAACAGCCACAATTCGCTGTGCAGAGTTGCATCCCTTGGGCATGTATCTCTTGGAGCTTTCCTTACACATTAAAAAGCTGACATGCTGTGATATAACTGCAATACTGTTCAAAGCAGTGTTAAACCAAACTCACTCACTTAATTTCGAACATTAAGGTTACACAAGGACCCCTTGCATTGCATTAATTTTCAATACTGGGTTTTACCAGTACCTCTTGCATTTTATTAATTTTGAACACTGCCTAGTGACTACTGAAACGGAAAACAGCACAAACTTAACAAGTGAGTTAGTACGCCACTTTCAGCAATATTCCAGCAATGTCTTGGCTGGGGCCACCAGAAATGGGCTTCACACGTTGTACCCTTGTGGGGAATCAAACCAAGGCCTTCGGCGTGACGAGTGAACACTTTAACAACTAGGCTACCCCATCACCACACCCTTATAAAATGTGACAGTGATGAATATGTTGAACAGTACTTTTCAATGAGCATTGTCTGTGTATCAGCATTGATCTGGTATATGTGTTGATCCCGCAGTTTATCAGGGCTCTTCACCAGTTTCTCCAGACTAGTAAAGAGGCGATAATTATCTTGTGTATCACTCAACAAATCCTCAAAGGTGGCGCTGTACTTCTTCAAGACTCCCTGTTTTTGCAGAACATTGGCAGCTTCAGAAACTGAAACATGTGTAATCACAAGCTCATATGAAAATGGCAATGCATTCAAATGAAATAAACTTGTTGAAAAATGGGACCCCGCCCCAGGGCAAACAATACTATGCACTCAGGACTATGTAGTTTGGCATTAATAAAATTAAACATTAGTCATTATGTTCATATTCAAGTGAATTTTCGAAAAACAAAACAATGTACAGTAACTGACTTATTAATACCCATAATAATAGTGAGTGAGTGAGTATGGTTTTACCCTGCTTTTAGCAATATTCCAGCAATATCACGGCGGGGGACACCAGAAATGGGCTTCACACATTGTACCCATGTCGGGAATCAAACCCGGGTCTTCGGCGTGATGAGCAAACACTTTAATCACTAAGCTACCCGACCGCCCCACCTATAATAATAACATATCTGTTAAGGACATAAGTGGGTAGACAGGTTAACATGCAGCTATCATTTGCCATGCAGTCTCACTGTATACTGGTGGGAACACAAAACAAACAGAATCTGCTATTTGTCATCAATGATTATAAGAAACTTTTTAACAATTGGTTTAGGGATTTGATGAGTGTTAAAATAAAGGAAAAATTAGTTCCAAAGCACTGTAGCTCACCTTGAGTCACATGTAGTTAACGGTTAAAAATGTCAACAAAGACAGCTACAAATAAAAGTTGCTGTCAGTAATGATCTTCAAATACTTTCTACATAAATACTGGGTACTGACAAAATATTACAATGTAATGATTTGGACAAAATATGATATCATCACAAGGAGACACACACATGTAAAAGTTCAGTCTGGCAAGTTGCAAGAAAATGCATTTGGAGAATATAAGAGAACAGTCAAAGCAACATCAAAATTTAATATATTGAATTAAATGGAACATAAGTGATGAATCCAACAACTCACCAAACAAATATCAAGTTTATTTTCAGTTTGAACAAAAAAGGATTAATGGCCATAAACAACATTTTCAACAATATGGTTGCAGCATGTGTATTCACAGCCATATTAAGAATCTTATTCGAACCTCTTCAACAACTTCAGGTATCATCATTGGCAACAACAAGACCTGGTTATTTGTGTGTCATCATACCCCAATGGCTTGGGATGTTGCTCTTGATATCAATCACTGGCTGATGTCATATTATAGCTGGAATATTTGCCGAGTGTGGTGTAAAACAACAAACAATCTAATAACTACATTTTGGAAACAATGGCTGAGTAATTGGCACAAGAAGTTCAGCTTTTACTATGATCAAAGTGCATCAGGTCCAAAGGTTTCTGAGGGGGAGATGTTTATGCCAGACAACGCACTCGACGAAAGAGGCCACACCAACTGCTCACTTGACTTTGTGTCAGGTGAGCTAAAACATGTTCCTCTCCTGGAAATTTTGACTTTGCAATAAAACTAATGTTTTGTACTGAAAATATTTCCATAATTAAAGTACTTTGTTTACATAAGTAGTTGATCTAAACTGCAAGTAAATTGTTTACTTTACAAAAAGTACACAGCTAAACTGAAAGTAGTTTCTTTATTTAATGATAAACAGGCTGGCCGATTACCAAACCTGATTGAGTTTTGTATTGAATGAATGAATCATTATGATGAATATAGAGAGCACAGAGAGCTACATAGATCATGTAGATCTCATAATGAATTTATAGTAATGTGCTAAAGTGAGAATAAAATTAAATAAAAAAAGAAGATCATGGTTACATGTGAGACTGAGAATGTGGAAATACATAAATTAGATTCTGACAGCACTCTTCGAAAGTTGTGTTAGAAAAGAAAACCATGGTGAATGAGGAAATCATTGTTGGTTTTCCTTAGATTTCCATCTACATGTACTTCTACTAGTTCTAGTTGACCAGATCTCACGTTTGTTGGTATTTACCTGAGCAGCCCCTCAGCCACATATCATAGACGTCTGGGTCTATGTATGTATTGTTGCCCACAAAAATATCAAATTCCGCCATGACCATGAACAATCAATTTTATGTTTTTCAGACAAATGTGTCTAGATTTCCTCTCAGATTGTGACCGTCGCTGACATTAGTCAAAGGGAGGTAATACAAATTACAAACCTTCTTATCTGCCCTGTAAAGTGCTAGTGCATATAACACTCGCTAGGGTGCGTCTCTTATATTTACGTGCCTATTTTATTTCTAACAGTGTTAAAGGTTTCAATTCCACTATAAAACTAACTTGATTACCAAAATATTCATTAGTTGAGGATCATAAACAAATAACGATGTCCCCACAAAGTATCAAATAAAACTGAACACGATCCCAGAATTCCATAGTCTTGAGAAAATGGCGTCGCGGCGTGTGCTCCCAGACGATTTAAGAAATGTTGAATTTGAAACAAGTGAAGATGTCGACGTTACACCTACATTTGATAATATGGGTCTTAGAGAAGAGTTGTTGAGGGGTGTATATGCTTATGGTTAGTTGCCTGTATGATTTTATTCTCACGGTTTTATCAGCAATCCCGATGCACACGATAAAACGTTTTCCTGACGATCAAAAAGAAGGTTAACACGAGAGCATCATTTGTTATCCTGAGACATACATGACAGTGACTAATATTCCACTTCGTGGCACGGAATAATAAACCGTGATTCGTTCAAGACCATATTATTGTGTTGTGGGGAATGCATGATGTCATATAAAAGGCGAATTGTAGAAAACATCAATATATAAGTTTTGATTATTTCTTGCAGGTTTTGAAAAACCGTCAGCTATTCAACAGAGAGCTGTAAAGCCAATAGTGAAAGGTCGAGATGTTATTGCACAGTAAGTGGATTGTCGTGTCCAGACTCATTGATACCACAGTTTATAAACATGATTAATGTAACTTGTAAACACGGCCTACAAATAGATTGATCATATTAACATGGCCTACAAATACATATTAACATCAGTCAAAATCATTAGCCAACTCAAATTTTCAATATCAAGGAATCAAAGATCACCTAATTATGATTTCCACAACACATGCATCATGTGTGAGGTTTTGTTGAAAACATTTTTCGGATGTTTATAATTAAGGATGATGAAGATTATTTGTCAGCTCAAATTTTGAATGCTTATTTTTTTGTTCAGGGCACAGTCTGGAACTGGTAAAACGGCCACATTTTCCATCAGTATCCTTCAGTGCCTTGACACACAGGTGCGGGAGACACAAGCCCTTATTCTCTCACCCACGAGGGAGCTTGCAACTCAAATCCAGAAGGTACATATTGTTCTCTATCACCAGAGAAAAGATACAGGATTTTGTGTACTTAAGTCAATGTTAGTTTGAACATATTGAAGCTAATTCTTAATCATGAATTGATTTTTAATAAAATGCCATTTTATTTATTTCTAAGTATTAAGTACTTTCCAAGTCATAATTTCCAATTGTACACTGTTTGTGATGAACATGTAATGTGGAGAACTTGAATTGATATGAATACTAATACAGTTGACATATTACCTTAAAAAAAACATGGGCATGGTTTCAGGACTATTTATAGTATATATCAATAAATTATGTTTGATCAATTGAATAAGAGGAGTTGCTTCCCCTACAAGAAACGACATCCTGATACATGTACATATCTGTTGCAGGTTATCCTTGCCCTTGGAGATTACATGAATGTGCAGTGTCATTCATGTATCGGAGGTACAAATATCGGTGAAGACATTCGTAAACTGGACTACGGACAGCATGTGGTTTCTGGAACACCAGGCAGAGTCTTTGGTTAGTCATGAATCTTTTTGGGAGTCACAGATTTGGAAAAAGGGAAACATCTTGAGTGGTGTACTTTGTACTACTGGTCTATAACATGTAAAGAATAACATTGGGATAATCTGTATCAGCATGGTTGCAGATTCTGAACCATTTGTGATTTTAAGACACTTGTAGTAACTCCATTTGTGGAGATCTATAGGGCTTATGCAATGTGTATGTGTTGCTTTGACCAAATTTGGTTTATGGATATTTTCAAGCTGTCACAATCAACCAAGTCACAGAGCCTGATGTAATTAACAAAATGGTGTGGACCCAAGATGATTGATAACCACTGCATGTTGGATAGCCATACATTTGAATGATAAGTGACCAAATATGGAAATCAAAGTCAGGGCAGACAAAAACAGTCAGATTGTTTAATGTATTGCCCCTAGTACCATCCCTTGAGTGAAGTGCTTGTAACATCCTGTATATGTTTCAGATATGATCAGGAGGAGGAATCTTCGCACAAGATCTATAAAAATGTTGATTCTTGATGAAGCTGATGAAATGTTAAACAAGGGTAAGTGATTTTGTTTCACTGACAACAAAGGTAAATAGTGAGGATTTGTAAGGTGTCTACAGTGGCTGAAAATGTGTATGCTATTCAATTTCTAAGTTCTAAATATACATTCCTTTCCTGTGGGTGCTGATGATACTCTTGAGAGTGATTTATTGTACATGTGGTGGACATGGGCAATGAGGATACTATTTCCAGGAATTAACTGTCTGTAAATATATACGCTATTCTGAGCCCTTTGCCACTGTACAACAATAGTCCTCTGATCTCAAAGATGGCTGCAGAAACAACCTGTATGATTGGCATAAGCTTTCAGAAATCTGTTACTAGTATTAGGGGGGTATTTTTGTATGTTGTTTAATGCTGCACTCAGCAGTGTCCCAGTGGTCTGTAAATAATAGAGCCTGAACCACAATCTAGTAATTGACATCATGAGCATCAATCTTCGCAATTGGGGATAAAATGATATGCATTAACCAAATCAGCAAGCCTGAATACCCGATCATGGTAGTCACCTCTTACGTTAAACATGGGTTGCTGAAGACCAATTCTAAGGGGATATGATACCCAGGGAGTTACTCGACCCACAGATATAGATAATGGACGCAGAAAAAGAATGCAGTGTCCCGATTGACTTATATTCATTTTACCTATAGCTCATCAAGAGCAGTTATGGGCGTCTGTCATTTCATCCATCAATCATGGCCACTGTCTACATGGTCATTGATTAATGCCAGGCTCTAAAGTACCGTATTCGACGTAATAAGTGCCCGGGGCGCTCTCAATATTAGAAATAGAGGGCTCTTATTAGAATATTAGTTTGGTGGGAAAAAAACATAGTTGAAAGATAAATTTTGTTGGTTATGCTGACAGCCGGAAATGTTTATGTACGACAGATATATTTCTCCAGATTTTAATTTCCCATAAATAAGGGTGCATGTAACACACGTGTGCGTATTATACCGAATAAATAGGTCTTGTGTACATTGATCAATCGGAAGGGATGCAAAGTGGGCTTGTTCACTAGCCAATATATCAGCAAATATCGCCGGGGGCGCTTATTATGTCGAATATGGTAATTATCAAACCATACAGTACACTACACAATTTCTTATCTTTACAAGACCCTCATATTGCCTGCAAGGACCCTTAGAATATTATAATTATTTGAGGGTCCCCAGGACCCTTTATTTTTTAAGCCAAATAAAACCCTGGATACCATTATGCCCATTGACTGTGTTATTCAGTTCAATCAGGCTGCGAATGTATTTGATATTGAAGTTTGCATAAAGGGATGGGCAATGAGGATACTATTATCAGGAATGAACAATGTCTGTAAATATATACGCTATTCTGAGCCCTTTGCCACTATGCAACAATAATTATTCTCTTATTTCATTGATCACTGCAAAAACAACCTGTATGAAAATGTATATGAACAATGAAGAAGTGATTATTTTGTTTCTGGAAAAGCAATAACTCAGTGCTACACCATCATAACCCAAACCTTTGTATGTGCCTCGTATTAAACTAAAACAAGTGCAATTTGCTCTAAATACAGTATTGATCATGGATACTGTATTAACCCCTTTTAATCATTGTCAATCATGTAGGAATAACAAGGATTGTCAAATGACGTCCATGTTGATCTTTGTGCTTCTATGACATTAGTTGTGTAACTGAAGCAAGTTGGTAGGCTCACTGTCAATTTGAAGAATCTACAGAATTAGATGTTGTGCAACTGTTATGAAGAACATAAAGCTGGCTGTCATGATGTTTGGATTTTTTATGTGGTGAATAAGGGCAATGAGGATACTATTTTCAGGAATTAACTGTCTGTAAATATATACGCTATTCTGAGCCCTGTCTGTGACCATTCAGCAATAATAGGTCATCTAATTACATGGTCATTGTCAAATAGAACCCCCTTTTTAAGCATATGATAATGTTATATTTTACTGGTATATGTCAAGGTCACTGGATAGCAAAAGCTAATGAAACTTTCTGAAAAAGAGTATGCTTTTATCACCAAACTATGTTCTCAACAGGAATCAATGTGTCAAACTTATCTCATCGATGTAATAATATTAATCCCTTTTAATCAGTGGTAATCACTGTTGAAATATGAGGATTTTGTCCGGATTTTATACATCCTGATGAAGGCTAGTTGTCATTTTGTTTGTAATTTACATGTGGCAAGGGCAATGAGGATACTATTTTCAGGAATGAACAATGTCTGTAAATATATACGCTATTCTGAGCCCTTTGCCACTATGCAACAATAATTATTCTCTTATTTCATTGATCACTGCAAAAACAACCTGTATGAAAATGTATATGAACAATGAAGAAGTGATTATTTTGTTTCTGGAAAAGCAATAACTCAGTGCTACACCATCATAACCCAAACCTTTGTATGTGCCTCTTATTAAACTAAAACGAGTGCAATTTGCTCTAAATACAGTATTGATCATGGATACTGTATTAACCCCTTTTAATCAATGTCAATCATGTAGGAATAACAAGGATTGTCACATGACGTCCATGTTGATCTTTGTGCTTCTATGACATTAGTTGTGTAACTGAAGCAAGCTGGTAGGCTCACTGTCAATTTGAAGAATCTACAGAATTAGATGTTGTGCAACTGTTATGAAGAACGTAAAGCTGGCTGTCATGATGTTTGGATTTTTTATGTGGTGTGCAAGGGCAATGAGGATACTATTTTCAGGAATTAACTGTCTGTAAATATATACGCTATTCTGAGCCCCGTCTGTCACTATTCAGCAATAATAGGTAATCTAATTTACATGTAATAATATTAATCCCTTTTAATCAGTGGTAATCACTGTTGAAATATGAGGATTTTGTCTGGATTTTATACATCCTGATGAAGGCTAGTTGTCATTTTGTTTGTAATTTACATGTGGCAAGGGCAATGAGGATACTATTTTCAGGAATTAACAATGTCTGTAAATATATACGCTATTCTGAGCCTTTGGCCAACATGTTTTAATAACAAATCACATTTTTCATCTGGAAATTGCAGAAACAGCTCCTATCATTTGTATTTGTCAACTATTTTCACATCAACTTTATCAACATAATCAATGAAATATATCTCACCTACTGTTTTCTTTAGTTCAATGATGCAGAGGATTTTATTCATTTTAAAGTTTGACAATGTGAAGTGATGGATTAATTCTTCAGTGTCGCATCTCAAGAAAATGATTTGAATTTGATCATGTAATGTACTGTATACAAGATTTGACATTTCAATTATGGAATTATAGAGTTGTCAATGTAGAGTGTGACACCTGTACATTTGACAGTGTTAAATGTTGACCTGACATGCTTCTGGATATTGTCGCATTCCCATAAGTAATGATGGAATCAGTGTTTTATTATCATGACCATATGGCATGAAACTTGAGCATGTTGAGATGTGTTTCATATTATGTAAGTTGATCTATGTGTGTTTCAATGTGAGGAGTCTTCATAATAACCCATTACAAAACTGTTGCATGAGGATAAACATGATAAAAAGTAAGATATGTTTTTGTATTCTGCATGTATGGGCAATGAGGATACTATTTTCAGGAATTAACAATGTCTGCAAATATATACGCTATTCTGAGCCCCTTGCCACTATTTGCCAATAATTCTCTAATTTCATAGATCACTGCAGAAACAACCAGTATGACTGACATTAACTTTCAGAGATCTATCAAGGGGATATGGTGCTATCATGTTTATTGACTGAAGCAAACTGGTAGATTCACCATCATTTTGAAAAATCTACTTAATTACATTTTTTGAAACCGTTAATCTTCATCATGATGATGATGAAGAAGAACAAGATTGCTGTCATAATGTTTGGAAAATAATGTTTGGTGGTGGACAAGGGCAATGAGGATACTATTTTCAGGAATTAACTGTCTGTAAATATATACGCTATTCTGAGCCCTGTCTGTCACTATTCAGCAATAATAGGTCATCTAATTTACATGGTCATTGTCAAATAGAACCCCCTTTTTAAGCATATGATAATGTTATATTTTACTGGTTATATGTCAAGGTCACTGGATAGCAAAAGCTGATGAAACTTTCTGAAAAAGAGTATGCTTTTATCACCAAACTATGTTCTCAACAGGAATCAATGTGTCAAACTTATCTCATCGATGTAATATTATTAATCCCTTTTACTCAATGGTAATCACACTTGAAATATGAGGTTTTTGTCTGGATTATGTACATCCTGATGAAGGCTAGTTGTCATTTTGTTTGTAATTTACATGTGGCAAGGGCAATGAGGATACTATTTTCAGGAATTAACAATGTCTGTAAATATATACGCTATTCTGAGCCCCTTGCCACTTTTTGCCAATAATTCTCTAATTTCATAGATCACTGCAGAAACAACCAGTATGACTGACATTAACTTTCAGAGATCTATCAAGGGGATTTGGTGCTATGATGCTTATTGACTGAAGCAAACTGGTAGATTCACCATCATTTTGAAAAATCTACTTAATTACATTTTTTGAAACCGTTAATCTTCCTCATGATGATGATGAAGAACAAGATTGCTGTCATAATGTTTGGAAAATAATGTTTGGTGGTGGACAAGGGCAATGAGGATACTATTTTCAGGAATTAACTGTCTGTAAATATATACGCTATTCTGAGCCCTCTGTCACTATTCGGCAATAATAGGTCATCTAATTTACATGGTCATTGTCAAATAGAACCCCCTTTTTAAGCATATGATAATGTTATATTTTACTGGTATATGTCAAGGTCACTGGATAGCAAAAGCTGATGAAACTTTCTGAAAAAGAGTATGCTTTTATCACCAAACTATGTTTTCAACAGGAATCAATGTGTCAAACTTATCTCATCGATGTAATATTATTAATCCCTTTTAATCAATGGTAATCACTGTTGAAATATGAGGATTTTGTCTGGATTATGTACATCCTGATGAAGGCTAGTTGTCATTTTGTTTGTAATTTACATGTGGCAAGGGCAATGAGGATACTATTTTCAGGAATTAACAATGTCTGTAAATATATACGCTATTCTGAGCCCTTTGCCACTATGCAGCTATAATAGTTTTGTAGGTTTAATTTCGATCACAGTGCAACACAAGAACAGATTGTCAATATTTAAAGAATATTGAATGATATTTTAAAATATTTCCCATACAATAAATTGAGTAATAGCATCTACTACTCTCAAAACAGTAATACCACAACCAAGAGACAGATCTAAACTTAAAAAATATCTTTGTAAAAGTCTTCTGAAGAGGCTTCTGGCAGACAAGTTTGGATAGCTTAGTTGACTGAAAATGTTTGATATAGGTTGTCAGGTCTATCTTCGGAAATAAGCTGCCCAGTTGCTGAGGACAATGAGGATACCATCCTACAGGAATTCCAACTGTCTGGAAATATATACGCTATTCTGAGTCCTTGTTTAATGCAACACTGTTACACAATTTTGTAGGGGGGGGGCACAGTTGGCAGAGTTGCGTCCCTTGGGCACGCCAGAAACCTATGATTGTGTGTTTGAATCCCGGTTTGCCCCGATTATGTTTCTAGGTTTGTCAGCACCATACCCGTGCTCAAGGGTTTCACTGAAGTGGTAAACGTCTGAGACCCACATTAAGCTGACACACCGCGATATAACTGGAATACTGTTAAAAGCAGTATTACACCCAACTCACTCACTCACAATTTTGTACAACTTTAGCAGTGAAAACATGATTATTACATGTTATATCTCAGTTTCTTACAATTACCATGAATCCTTGGTCTTTAATGTGCTTAGAAAACAATAGGAACATGAAGTGTTCTTCTGAAGGGATGCACTGTATTCAACTTGATTGTGTTTATAGGATTCAAAGAGCAAATCTATGATGTGTATCGGTACCTGCCACCAGCAACCCAAGTACTTCTCATCTCTGCTACACTTCCTCACGAGATCCTGGAGATGACCAGCAAGTTCATGACAGACCCAATCAGAATCCTGGTCAAACGGTAACATCTCAACCCTTCTGATCATTTAAGCTTCACATGTGCAATAGTATGTGTGAGAATACACAACTAGATTGAGAACCTTTGGGGATTGTGGACCAGATTATATCCCCAGTATCTCAGGCACATGTATGGCCTGGAAAGGCATTGTATGGCCCCAGTGACTGATTGGTTTGGATGGTGACCACCAGGGAAGACCAAATTGTCTTATGTAATTATCCAAGTCTGCATGGAATGATCATGCTTGCTGCTGTTGTCATGTAGCTTTTAGTGGCATCATTCACCAGCTCACTTGCCATACTGATCAGTGAAGGTGAATGCTGACATATTGAATACATTATGGACTAGCTGATGGCAGGTTCGCAGTGAGGAGACATTGCAGCAGGACCCTTAAGTGTTTGCATATTAACTGCATTCTGAACCTAACAAACTTCAGGTGGCTTCAGCCTTCAGCAACCCATGCTCGCCGTAAGAGGCAACTAACTGGATCGAGTGGTCAGACTCACTGACTTGGTTGATGCATGTCATTGTATCCCAATTGCATAGATTGATGCTCATGATGTCAATCACTGGATTGTCTTGTCCAAACTCGATTATTTACAGATTGCTGTCATATAGCTGGAATATTGCTGAGTGCGGCGTTAAAAAGGAAACAAAATAAGGTGTCTTCACTTTATAAGATTAAATTTGCTGTTTTATGTTTACAGACATACATTTCTGTGTGATATCCCTTCCACTGGCATATTGTCATTTTTCCTTGCATGACAACAAACAAAAAATGAAGCTATAATGTCATTATGTTACTCTTTCTTCTCTTAGTTATGTCAGTGTGTATGATTTGTGTCCATGTTTCATACATGATGTTTGTATCTGAATCCAGTGATGAGTTGACCTTGGAAGGCATCAAGCAGTTCTTCGTGGCAGTAGAGAGAGAGGAGTGGAAGTTTGACACCCTGTGTGATCTGTACGACACCCTCACCATCACACAGGCAGTCATCTTCTGTAACACCAAGAGAAAGGTACAAGACTCATTCCACACAAATATCTTTCTGAATAGCACCAGTAACAGACCAATTAAGCATATTGATTCAAAGTTAAGGTCAATCACTTCATTTGACACAAACTTTTTATGTACTTTTCAAGTTATGCAATGTGGCAATTGTTTTTACACTTTTATTATGTCAATGACAGCCCTACATGAACGCTTGATGGAATATACTGTTTTAATGTTGCAGGTAGACTGGCTGACTGAGAAGATGAGGGAGGCCAACTTCACTGTGTCATCCATGCATGGTGACATGCCACAGAAAGAGAGAGATTCCATCATGAAGGAGTTCAGATCAGGATCCAGGTAGGACTGTTGTTTCTGCATAGTCACATTATAGAGGTAATCATTGGTAGCGTCCGTGTTGCCATGATACAAAGTAGCATACAGAAGGTTGAGGTTTGTTTTCAATATTGATGCCAGTTTTCGTTTTCTCATCATACGTTACAATGCTTCCGTATTTCATGCTTAGTCAGTCCATGAATCAGATTCATGAGTACCCATGAAGATCCGGGTTAGAATTAAGTTTCCAGCAACCCATCTGGTGGTGAGGCTGCTTGATGCATGTCATCTTATCCCAATTGCATAGATCGATGCTCATGATGTCAATCACTGGATTGTATGGTCTAGACTTGATTATTTAGAGACTTCTGCCATACAGCTGGAATATTGCTGAGTATGACGTTCCTCAAGAAACAAATAAACAGAATCATGAGTTCCAGCATGACCCCTGTTGTCAGACCCATGTTAGTACGTACAACGACTGCAGTCACTGAAGGCTGACACACCTGGCATATCTAAAAAGCAACAGTTTGTTTCAATGTCTGTATTTCTCCCTCCCTGCCACCAGCAATTTGAGCTTTCAGTTCTACTAAGAATAGTTTGCAGGTGCCAAAAGCCAGATTAATATTTTCCTGAAAAGTATTTCGTAAAAGGAGACAAATTAAATTTTTCTAAGGTCTCTTAATAATGGAAATTGTTTGCAAGAATGAGCAAAAGTTCGTAACTGTTGTGTTATTTTTTGTAATGGTAATGTTGGGTTGCACTTTTGTTTTCAGAAGAACTGTTTTCTTAAGTTCAGCAGAATGAGTTCATGTTGTTTTGTACATTTCAGTCGCGTCCTCATCACAACTGATGTTTGGGCTCGAGGTATTGATGTTCAGCAGGTGTCTCTCGTCATCAACTATGATCTGCCAAACAACAGAGAATTGTACATTCACAGGTATGTAACTGGAGACTTTCAGTACCAGACACTCGTAAGCAGTGTAATCTTTGTAAACTGCAACAAATCCTGCTGTGTATGCAATCTGGGCCAAGAACATGTCGACAAATTCTTTCTAAGAACTTGACATGTTTTTGTCCCCCGCCGCGCGAAAGCGCGAAGCGGGGGATATAGTATTCACGACCGTCCGTACGTCCGTCTGTACGTCCCACCTGTTTGTTGCCGCGATATCTCAAGAACTAAACACTGGATTGTCTTCATATTTGGAACTATGGTGTATATACAGACTCCGCAGACACCAGTCGGTTTTGGTGACCTTGACCCCATTTTCAAGGTCACTGCCGGTAAATCTGCTTTTGGAGTTGGAAAACGGTGTTGCCGCGATATCTCAAGAACTAATCGCAGGATTGTCTTAATATTTGGAACTATGGTGTATATACAGACACCGCAGACACCAGTCGGTTTTGGTGACCTTGACCCTATTTTCAAGGTCACAGCAGGCAAATCTGCTTTTGGAGTTTGAAAACGGTGTTGCCGCGATATCTCAAGAACTAATCGCTGGATTGTCTTCATATTTGGTATTTTGGTGTATATACAGGCGGGGGACATTTCGTCACTTCTGTGACAAATACTTGTTCTCAGAAACTTCACCACCTGTGAAGATTTGGGTTAGAATTGGTCTTCTGCAACCCATGCTTGTGGTATGAGGCGTCGAACAGGATCATGTGGTCAGGCTCGCTGACTTGGTTGATATGGCTGGAATATTTGCTGAGTACTGTGTAAAATAACAAACAAACAAACTCAGAAAGTTTAGCCAACACTGTTAAGTTTTGATTCCATCCATGCCAGTGTTGGAGTACCATATTGGGTTAAATTGTATGTTGAAATTGACATCAGTATTGTAAAACAGTTGATGTCAAAGGTTTTACAGGGCTTTGAAAATGTGTTTTCATATCTACCATTTTACCTGTGAGTCTTTGTATTTGACACTGAGATAATTTTTTTGTAGAATCGGCCGATCAGGTAGATTTGGAAGGAAAGGTGTGGCCATCAACTTTGTAAAGAATGACGACATCAGAATTCTGAGAGATATTGAACAGTACTACTCAACACAAATTGATGAAATGCCCATGAATGGTAAGTTTGTGAATGGTTAACATGAGACTATTTTGTCATGCCCGTGGAGGGGTAGCATGTCAGAATAGGTCCCCAGTGTCAATCCTCATGAGGCAGCTTACATGTAAGGCTTTGTATGATGTTCTAACTCTTGACCACAATCACAATTTACATTCCACCATGGTAAAGATGCAATATTGCTTACCACCATGAAAAGTTTCTTTTTCTCCCTCATGCTGCTGGGTGGTCAGATAGCATGGTGGTTAAAGCTTTCCCTTGTCACGCTGAAGTCCCTGGCTCGTTCCCCAAATGGGTACAATGTGTGAAGCTCATTTCCTATGTGCCCCGGCTGTGATATTGCTGGCATATTCCTAAAAGTGGCGTAGAAAACTCGCTCGCTCATGCTGACAGTGGGCTGTATCGAATATAGAATTCTTTCAACTTTCTTTTGTCAAACTTGAAATAACTATTTAATGTCTGTGAAATAAAAACACATATTTTCTCATATATTATTGCATTTATTAGGCTGTTGAATCTAACAGAGTAAATTAGCGCAGCCAATATTAATCTTTTCTTTCCGGATTATTTCCTGCTCACAAATGTGATTTTCTTTCTTTTACAGTTGCTGATCTGATCTAAGAAAGAGGGTGTGGAGAGAGAAAAAACTATTGTGAAGTGACAATAATAGACACTGTGTTCAGACAAACCAAACATCTGTGAAAGACAGATAGCTGTACTTAGCTGCAAACCACCAGTCATCTTTGTCAGTGAATCAACAGTGCTCACCTGAAGACTGCAGTGGAAGTGGTACACAACAGACAGACACTTCAGCTGTGGAGCTATCACCGCAGGAAAGCCATGCTTTGTTTTAGTGGGATAACTGCAGTTTGAGAAATAATTTGTTTATCATTGAAAGGGTTTTGTGACATTTACTGATGCAGCTGTAACCTGTGGGTCATCTGTATATCTTATTTAGGTGTAAGTTACTAGTTATTTTAACAACCTTCATTCTGTAAGATCATGCTCATTGTAAATACATGCTTCCTTATTATTAAATAATTATTTTTTTCATTGATCATGTCTTTAAAAAGTCCATTTTGTCTTAAATGTGAATAAAATTCAGACTTGTACAGGTTGTCACTTAATTTTGTTTCCTTTGTGGATGATACACTGTAACTGCTGTGTAAATAAGAATGATATATAATGCACATTTATAATACATATTAAGGATACAATACGTATTGCGATACTTTGTTCCTGATATGATACACGTCACAATACTTAATTTGCATGGATTTCATAAGGCATAAACACTATTAAAAAGCAACTTGAATATTGGGTCTAATATATGAAAAAAAGATGTCTCATACAATCAGTACTGTATTTCAGATAAAACTGGAAAGTCATTTATATATGTTATATTATTTATTAAATTCCCTGTTTGCAAAATTGAAATTGAAAAAATTGTATATGAAAGATTGTGTCCTTGTGTGAAACGATACAGGATTAAAATAAGAATCAATACAGGTAAGTGTGTATCGAGGATCCTATTGTCTGATAATTATTATCCAAGTATTGATGAAAAGTGACATACATGTACCACTCAAAAGAATCCACCAAACAAATATTACTTCTATTTTAATTGTACTATATACAAAAACATTTGACTGTCGATGTCCAAATTGGTTCATGTGGTACTTGACAGACTTCATTCATCATTGACTGTTCATTGTCTTGTGGTTTGAATCCAAAAAGGACTGGGAACTGTGGCATGAATTCAGGAAGGCATCAGTTTGCCTGAAGTGGCACCTTGTCTAAATGTGTCCCCGTCTGACATTCACAGACTATGGGTACACTGAAAGAAAACAGGAAAAGTGCAGGAACCACGTCTCCCTTGTCGTCCACAAATAAAGAGCACAGGATTGACTCGTCCTGACAGGACTACTCCAACTCACCATTACTGGTAATGCTCTATGAATACAGCTGAGGAAAGCTACTAATGCCAACGTTTGTGAAGATAAGATTCGCAATAGGCTTCGGGAGGCAAACTTGAGATTAATATGTCAAAGCTGTCCTTTTTCCATTCAAAACTCACCATAGAGCTGCACGTTTGACGTGGTGTCAGCAGCATCATCGGTGGAATAGGCACCAGTGGAATCTTGTTCATAGATGAATCCAGGTTTAGTTTGCAATTCTGTGATGGCCGTATCCGAGTGTACCGACGTCCTTGTTAGCGTTTTGTTGACACTAACGTCAGAGAAAGGCAGGGTTTGGAGATGGATCAGGAATGATATTGGACAGATTCAGTTTCAACTACAGAACTCCCCTTTACCATGTTCGGGGTAATTTGAGAGCTCTGTGCTACAGAGACGAGATTTTACAGCCTCTGATGCTTCCAGCACTTTGAGCTATTGGTCCACAGGTAAGACTCCAGGGCGACAATGCACGTCCACGTTGTGCTTTTGTTGTCAGGAACTTTCTGCAGCAGAATCAGATCGACAAAATGGACTGGCCATCATATTCTCCCGATTTTGGCACCTATTGAACATTTGTGGGACGTGTTGGGACGAAACGGTCGGTATTCAAACGATGATTGGTGCAACAAGAATGGCTAGCCATTCCACAGATTACCCTCCGAAATTTGGTTGGGTCGATACATCAACGTTGTCATCAAATACAGACGTGGTCACACTCACCAGTAAACCAGTGTGTCTGCCCTTTATGACTTTGACAAATGACACAAGTCTTCAGTGCAGCATTTTTACTTAACCGCTATTGTCCTTTCATTGTTCTGACATGTCTTTGTCATGTAATGGCATGTCTAACAATTACTTAAAGATTATAACACATATGCCAGCTGTTAAAACTTTACAATTTCCAGTGTTCCTTGGATTCTTTTGAGTAGTATACGTCACAACAAAATTAAGGGGATTGATTTGACTGTGGATCATTTCACTTGCCTTCGTAAATCGCAAGGAAGATTTGAATACACGAGGCATCCTTGAAACTACCTTTCAGCTGAAGAATCTCAATGTCCGCTAATATCTTCTAATATCGTCTGTCATCCAACACACAAACTTCAGGCATACCAGTTTCCCTGATATGAAACTCCAACCTTACTGTGCAGTTTTACGAGTATTCATCAGAAGTCTCATGACGTCTAACACCACTGTAGATGTGTACCTACAATTCGCAAGTAACTCATGCATAACCTATAACAGCTGATTATTGTCAGAATCGGATATTCAAGATTTCGCGAAATTTGCAAACCCTATTTATATGATGGCAGCCTTACGACATACTTGCGACGTCCCGCAACAACCAGGGTCGTGGTTTATTCAACGCACCTGCAGAGCAAGTCGATGGGATGTGTCGCAAGTTCGCAATATATGCAACGGACACATGTGGAAAATCACTTACACACCGGGTGATGTCTAATAGTCGAAGACAGAAAAAAATCAAAGCAGAATGACGGCATAAAAAAGCAATAACTGAATAGTTGTAAGTGTAGACTAAACTCTAGTCATATCTAATGAATATATCTTACAGAAGAAAAAAAACAGTTGTTAAATTATCTTAAAATATAATAAAAAGGAGGCCAGAGACTTCATTTTCAGATACTGCAGTAATCTAGAATTTTTAACTTGCCAACTAAGCAATATTCCAGCTATATGATGGCGGTCTGTAAATAATCGAGTCTGGACCAGACAATCCAGTGATTGACATCATGATAATCGGTCCACGCAATCGGGTTCGATGACATGCATCAACCAAGTCAGCGAGCCTGACCACCCCTCCCGTTTAGTCGCCTCTTACGACAAGCATAGTCGCCTTTTACGGCAAGCATGGGTTGCTGAAGTCCTATTCTTCCCGGGATCTTCACGGGTCGCCAAACGTTACAGACTTGCTTGGGCTGTATTGGATATATTTGTATTCATGCAGGGTCTGTATGACAGACAATAGTAAGTGGTGCTTTATTTAGGACAAACCTACTGTTTTAAAATTTGATGTTGTCCCACTGTAGAGTAGATATTGATTTTTTAGTTTTGAAACGAGTGCCGCGATGTCATGGTAGAATTTCATGTATGGGCACCTATTCCATGAGAGACCGACGTCGACTAGGTCTTCCTTGGAACGAGTGAGTGAGTGAGTTGGGTTTAACGTCGCTTTTAACAATAATTGCAGTTATATCACGGCGTGTCAGCTTAATGTGGGAGGAAAGCCCGAAGTGATGCAGGTCTCAGACGTTTACCACTTCGGTGAAACCCACGAGCACGGGTATGGTGCTGACAAACCTAGAAACATAATCGGGGCGAACCGGGATTCGAACCCACAATCATAGGTTTCTGGCATGCCCAAGGGACGCAACTCTGCACAGCGAATCGCCTTAGACGACTTGGCCACCCGTGCCTCCTTGTGTTAAAACCAAACTGACGTCTTGAACATTTAAACAAAATGATTGGATTTTGACAAATTATTTTGTTCTTGATTTTATCTCAAATGTATTTTGTGACTTATTAACGCGATTTTGCGAACCATTTAAATATTTGATATTCTATTTATATATTCTATTAATAATGGAATAAGAAAACTATTTATTGGAAAAAATTTCTTCCACCACAGTTCATTGTTTTGCCTTGTTTCAGTTGGACCAAATGGCCTACAAGAAGATTGAATTCATTCAGGATGCGTGCAAATAAGATACATTTTATATGTAGCTAAGAGAAGAAACAAAAAGAACCTTCCTCTGATGTCCTCATATGTCTTCTGTATGAATGTGGTTCCTATACTGTGAGTGAGTGATTGATTGTGGTTTTACGCCGCTTTCAGCTATAACAGTGGGCTTCACATATTGTACCCTATGTGAGGAATCGAAGCCGGGTCTTCGGCGTGACGAGCGAACGTTTTTACGAATCTGCTACACTACCGCCCCAGTCGTATACTGTGACGAGAGGAAATGAGAACTCAGCACGCCCAAAGCTATAATCGGTTGTTCGTATTTACATTTCATGCTTGTTGAAGGGATAACATTTACTTGAAAATCTACAGTCAATGTACTTGTGAAAGGGCAGCCATTTTGAACGAAAGACGGAACGTTCGTAACACGTTGGTGATAACGAGGTCTGTTGTGATCCGAGTGAATGTCAGTCAAGGGCGAGGAACAAAGTCAGTTTTGTAGGGGTATGACATTCTGGGGGAGGGGTAAGGGCTATACCGAAAAAAACCCGGTTCACTGGACATGCTTGGTGCGTTCTAAAAAAATATAAAAAAAGTATTGTTTCAGAGAAAGACTATCGTTCAACATGTCTGTGTTTGCCAGTGTAAAAAGTCCCCGATACTTATTGTTTGCCCTACTGCAGGGTATGAAACTCCCAAAAATTTCAGCCAGACCACAGGACTGGCTAGCTGAAATACTTGCCAGCCCTGACCAAAACCTGCCTGCCCACTATAATCATATGTTTCTCAGGATAAGCTAACGGGATTTCTTTTTGGTTACATTTTATCATTCATCTTTACATGTGAATTAATGATTATCATCGGGAAATATTTAGAATATTTTCACATATGAAATATAACCTGACCGTCGGGCAGGGGGATTTGAAAATCTGGCAGCCCGAGTTGAAATCAACCCGTCTCGGACGGTCGGGCAGGCAGGTATTTCGAACACTGCCTACTGAGAGTAACCTTGTACTGAAGTTTCATTCAACAGCTTCGTCCGTGTATAGTTGATGTCACGCTCCCTGTGGAATTGTTGATTTAAGAATTGACCTTCACTTTGTGTGAGTTCATTGGGGTATGAACCTTCATAGAATGAGGGCCAAACTGTATGAACGTCGGAGCTTGCAAAAATTGTGTCGTTCAAACACTTATAATTAAATTTTCTTTGGGTTCATTGAAATTCCTGCATTCTAATTAGCTGAATTGGTCACGTGTTTTTTGCATTTTATTCTTTATTTCACAATGAATGTAAAAAATTAAGCCACGCCCACCGAAGCGGACTACTTTATGTACTACTGAATGTCGGGGAATCCAATATTAGTCGAGGGATTTCACTCTCTGTTCACGTGTATCGTCATGCACAGGCCATTTAGCGAAATTCATGAACATTCATTGTCCATACAACCCTTTG